TATGTCACCGGCATCTTTAATTACAAAAAACACCATAACAAATAAACTAAATCATTGGTTTTTTTCTGTCATCTATTGTGATTTATTACACAATATTTTTGTCAATTATATTGACAATAGAGGGTCACATACATTATTGTATTACTTTGTTTTGAACCAGTTTGGTCTTCTATTGTTCTATTTTTTGTTATTTTGTATCGCATTTGTGGGTTATTGGAACAATCCCCGTTAAACTTGTTCGCTGTATTATCCACAATTATAAGTTAATTAAAAAATAACAGCAGTTTCAATATTATCTGTTTCAATATTGTAAAATGAGTTGTGTTTTTTTTTTGCGATCTCTTATCGTGTTTTTATTTTGTTCTGCTCTTTTTAATATTCTTTTTGCTGATTTGTAAATATTTTTCCCCATTTCTGATGTTATCTTTGAAACGATTCTTATCTCTGCCATAAAAAAAATTGTTATTGTAAAACAACAACAACAACAAAATTAAAGTTTGCACAAGTCGTTTTTGCAAAAAACAATATCCTTGTCTAAAAACAATAAACAAACTCTATCTAGACTTTTTTTTGCCATGATTATATTTACTTAAGTTTTAAATACCTTAAATAACAGGAGATTAAGATTTGAATGACATTTAATTGTACTGCAATAAATGATTGAGCATGATTTTGAATTCAATGTGCCGGTTTCTTGGGCAAATAAACTTGTACCCACTTTCGAGTGGGAATTCGGCGCCAAGGAAACGTAACAATGTTAAATAAATAATGTTCTAAAATTATCAGTTTCTAGGCAATTAAAAATCGATATGTTAACAATTCGATGACATTTTTGAGAGCCACGCGTCATCGATGCGCTCACGAGAACTAAATGTTCTCTCTCTCGCAATGTTCTTTAAAGTACGTTTACATGCCAATCTTTATATAGGTTGCCGCTGATAGTTAACCAATCAAATAAATTAGACTGTAAAAAGACCCACTAAACAGATTGTGAATGCAGAACATTTACATTCTCATACATTTAATTCACAATTACATACAGTATATAATATTACATAATGTATATAATAATTTTCAAGATTTATATTAATTATTGTGATATGAAACGGCAAACTAAATTAAGCCATTTACACAGTGTTCTCTTTTTCTATCTGAGTGTTGCAAACACCTGTAAAAAAAATAACAAATTATAATTCCATAACTCTTCTTGCTACTACGTAAATGCAAAATGATAGTATTTGGTTCCACAAGTCCTATTCGTATTGTCATTTAACATTTTTATGCTAATTAGTCTGATTATCTGCAACTCAATGTGTCAATTTACTTCTATATATTTTCGCCTACTGTCAGAGTCTATCTGTCAATTTCTTCTCATTTGGAATTTATTTATTCAATATAATAACTACGAGCACTGGGTTTACAGTGTCGTTGGTTGGTAGTAGCGGGGAACATGTTTGTTGTTGTGCTATTCTGTTTGCTTAGTTTAGCATTTTGTTAAATACTATATATATTCAAAACATGTCGATTATTGTTATTTTTATGTGCTTATTTTTTATTTTCTTACATTAAAAGTAGTCAATCGACTGAAATTTAGTATAAATGTGAATGCATATATTTCAGGCAGACGTGTGGAAATGCATTTTAAGTTTGTTTTGTTTTAGAATTTACATAAAAATTCAATAAATCTGAAAAAAAACAAAACAAGTTCTAAAAATACTATAGAATGGAATTGCTACTAAGATTTGTTGTCGAAGCTAATAGAAAACTAAAGAATAGGTGCTGATTTTTCAATTGAGAAATTTGAAAAATTACCAGATGAGAATTATATAATATTAAATATAAGTTAAAGCTGTCATATGAAATCCCGATTTTTTGATTGAAAACTTTCAATATGGCAACATTAGGGATCGGATAAAATATAATTCCCAAATAAAATCTCTAAAATATTGTTATTGTATTTGTTTTTGCATATAATTGGCAAATGCAGCCATAGAATACATTTAAACTTTGTCGACTTATATTATATACTTGACTACAATTACTACCAGACAGTGTAAAGCTAATGATGCTGATCATCATCATCAGCATTCCGAAACATATTTATTGACTAGACTTAAACAATTGCGCAAATTAAAACTAATTCATTTTAATTTTGGTGCCTCGGATACAGACGGTATATGTGTATGCGTTTAATCAAATCCTGACCTTATACAATATAATGGTTATTACAAGTGATAGGTTAGGAGGTTAGAACAGCAACGACAATCTCAGGTACAAAATAGTTTCAGTTTTTAATTTAGGAAATTATTATTTTTAAAAAGCAATTAATTATTTGAAGCCAGGCCTTTCACTTTGTTTAAAAAATACGAAATTTAAATAAAATGGAAACGAAAACGTCAAATATACTTTTTTTTTGTAAATCCACTTAAAAAGGTCAGAATTGACGTCACTATACAATTTGATTTCATTTTTCGCCAAGAAACTTAAAACAAAGCTGTTAAAGCATAATCGTCAGCATTCAAAAAAGCACTTTAAATATATGCAAAAATTAAAACATAACGAAATGTAGATTTATAGTTTGTTTGTTTTATTTATTCATTCGTCAGGCAAACGAACAAAAGGCAAATAAACAAGAAGATACGTAAAAAATTAACATTACTGAACATTGGCGAAATATTACCAACATTCTTAAAGTACGTTTACACTTACTAAATCGTTTAACTGTCAATTCCGTTGCCTGTGCGTCAAATGAAATAAACTATCAAATTCTGTGCAATCCATTTGGGGTATATACAATGAAATTGACAGTTCGATTTAGTAAGTGTCAACGTACTTTAAGTATTACACATATTTGAACTAGATATCCCTACTGGATACGTTTTTTGACTTTTTCTCCATACTTCGTTACGCATAGCTTGATCTACATAAATCCGTATTTCACCAAATGAACAATGGGCCCAGCATAATTTTAATTTTCAATTCTAGCATCGTTCAATGGCTTTTATTTTCCCAAGTATCTCCTTTATTTGTTTTTGCTTTTTCAATTATTTTGCTTTTATTTGCTCAACTCTCTTGTCAATATCGAAGGTTAGTATGGCTGTGAACGTGTTTTACATAATTAATATTTTCCAAAAAAAAAAAAAATCAAAACAAAACAAAGACGTAACGAGAAAAATAAACTAAAAAATGGACAAAAAAACAATAACAACTATAATTGTTTTAAATAATTTGTTAATATGCGACACAGTGAATAATCGCAATAATATAATATTTAAAAAATTCCAAAAATTGTTTTCGGGCGTATTAAATATAATTTCATATGTATTTATTGGTATAAAAGTTATTGGTTGTTTAAATGTTTAATATAATGCCAAACGACCCACTGTCTTCGCACCCATGATTGGGAGCGTGCACTTAAAATCAATCCAGCACAATATTTATTTCCGGCTTTTTTATGAATATTATTATGAATAGTTTTAATTATGTCTTTATTATTCCAAAAAATTTTGTAAATGCTTAGACCAACAAATAACAAAGGTTTAATAATAATAATAATAATAAACTTTACTTGATATTGATATATAATGAGTCTTTATATATGTAAATATGAGTTTATGCCCAAGCAGTGAGGGAAAAGAGACATTTCCAAGACATTTAACAACTTATTAAAATCAAACTAGTTATTTTATGAAAATTGGGATTTATAATTATTCAAACATACGTAAAAAATACTTGGTCTTTATGCAAACCTTAATCATCATTTGCTCTATTGAGTATCTTATGTTTTACATTAAATAAATCATGCTGAAACGTAAATGTAATCATGCCCTTACGCCTAGCCGTAGAAACGGGTAATAATGTGGCAACACTAGAAATGCAATTTATCTGAACACTGTTGTTTTCTCAACACTCAGCCAATTGACTTGAAGGGTATCCCTCTCTCTCTTTCCTTATGATTGTGATGATTTATTTTGTTTTGCTTTATAACGATTTGTTTCTTATTAAGTGTAGCATACCTTTAGGCGCCAAATGTCACCCAACTAAATCATAGCTCTTTCTTCCTTTTCAATCAAATATATTCAATGACTAAAAATAAATTTCATTTTAATAAATCTTGAATTGAATATACCGTAAATTCCCACACACTTTGTAATTCCAATAGCTGTATGTAAATTTAATTTGAAAAAGAAACAAAGAATAAGAAAATACCGAAATTCCCATATTCTCAGACATTTATTTGTCACATGAATTCACTTGACCGCTCAACACACACAATAATCGTAACAAATCTGATGGTTCGCTTGAATAAAAGAACACCAGAAATGGGAAAAACCCAAAAAGGAAAAATTCACACAAAACGTGATTTTTGTGCAAAGTGTAAAATAAATGGCTGTTTGAAAAAGAAAACTTAAATATTTACAATAAAAACACGTATATTGTAAATTATAAGGCTTGATATTATATTTTCGAGGTCAAAATCAAGATGTTATCGCTCGCAGTCTTTTGGTTACGTTGGTTTTGTTTTTTTATCATTTTGAAATATTTTCTTTTGCTTTCATCATATTTTTGCTCAGGGGTTTTTTATATATTTTTTTTATTGTTATAATGGGGGTATTGTATATTATAAAGACATTTTCATATTATAGAAATGCAGCATTCTTATCACAAAAAAAGATGTGGTTTTTCGTTGACATGTGTTATTTGTATGATAACATAATATAAAAAGGTTGGAAGATTGACATGACAAGAAAATATCTTTTCCACTTTTATATTATTTTTTATATACATTTTAAAAAGTAAAATTTAATAACCATATCACGTTAATTTAGTTCAAGTTGAAAGTCTCAACCAGAAAGAAGCATATCACATTAGGAAAGAGTGAAAAAAATAGTAATTATGGAAGAAAAGGTTTATGTTCCTTTTTTATAGTCCAAATTTTTTTACTCTTTTTATTATAACTTGACGTTTATTAATTGTATTTCTCTTTTTTTTCTTTCCAGAACATTTCCTATGAATATTGCGAAAAAATCAATGATTATTTGGGTCAGCGTGATTTTGATGCACCCAGCCGCATGTCTCTGCTGAAATTTCTAGCCATTGTAAGTTTTCATTTTTATTTTCTTTGAATTTATGACAGCCAGACCTGGATTATTGTAATACACCACATTGTAGTGTTGTTTATTTTTTACAACTGTTTGTTAATCAATCAATATGTTATATTAACAAGCAAATAAAATATTTTGTACCACCAATAAAAGGTGGAAAAAATTCCATCAATGGAAAATTTTCAAAATATTCCACAAAAAAAAAAAAAAACAAACAAGAAGCTAAAATATTGTTGGTTTACAAACAAAGCCACCACAATCTGTTTTCTGGCCGGGGATGCCTAAAATTAAACATCAGGTGAACACAATGTATGTGATCATGCCAAAATTCGACTTCCTGTGCTATTGAAATATCAACATAGAACACCAAAACATTTGGGGTCCAAAGAACACGCTGATAAGTTTTTTTTTTAATCACAAAATGATGCAATTTTTGTTTTCTTATTTAGTTTTTTTTTTTTTTTTTTGTTCTAATCTTCTACAAAGAAAACTGGGAAATGTACGTACATACTTACATAGCTTTGGTGGGCGTGTAAACAATATTATTTATTTGTTTATTGAAATGAATTAATAAAAATGTGTTACAGTGTGTAATTATACAAGGTCCACCCTGTGACGTCAATATTCAATTAATTTGCAACCTTTAACTTTTTGTAAAGCGAAAAAAATATATATACAATTTTGTAATCTAATAAAGATGTTTCAAATTGTAATATTTTCAATCTGTTAAGACACAGAAAATGTAGTACACGCGCCTTAGATTCTGAGGTGTGTCTTCCTGATTATGATATGCATAAAATATGCAAAACTAGCTATAATAGACACACTGATTCGTCTACCTTTAAGAGTTCCAACAATATAAATAAATCTTTACTTGGGATAAAAATAGTTTGTCCAGTGTCTATGCTGTAATATTGCAAGCTGAAGTATTAGTCTATTTTACATATCTTTATTTTTAATAGAAATTAATAAATAAATGATGTCTTATTAATTTCTATAACGTAAAATAAGTTTTGAGAAATGTTGCATACTTTTGGGTGGTGCACTTGCACACCTTTGCCTATAGCAAAATCCATGTGTAGTCGAAACAAGCCCACCAATTTGTTATTTAAATAAGCTATTTGTTAAATTGTTTGTTCTGTAAATATTAAACCAATGTTACATTAAATTCTCTCTCTCTCTCTTTCTCTCTTGGTAACAAATTATTTAAAAAGTGTATAAGAATACACTTCCTATAGAAAGAAAAAAAAAAAACAAAAGGCAAAGGGAATTTCCATTGTCTAGCAGAAGACAAGACCAACTCTTGTCTCTATTTGCCAAAAAAAAAAAAAAACTGCTCGTTTTTTAAAGCAAACAAATGTTGATAACCTTTCAAGAGCTAACGAAAAAAAAAAAATAAACAAACATAATATTTGTTTAACCCAAAACAAACAATAAACCTTTGTCTGTCTGTCTGTCTGTCTATAATTCTGTCTAGCTTCCACAAACTTTAAAATAAAAATCTCACCCCACTTATCACTAATTAAATATTTCATTTTCTAATTACAGAATGCTTTGGAATTAAGTGCCCCAGCAACACCAGTTCTACTACAGCAACAACAGCAGCAGCAGCAACAACAAAATAATAACAAACCCACAGGCTGGTTACAACTGTCCGGACATCCTGAAAGGTAAATTTTAATAATAGTGCCATCATCTTACACCAGTACTAACTTTTTCTTCAATTCTTCTTTTTCCAGTATTGTACCATGTTCCAGTGGTGTGGTGCGTAAACGTGTTGCCAGTTTTAGTGACTATGAAGTTCAGGCCTATCAACAACTATCCCAAGAGCCTCTCACCTCCAAAATTGTTCCCGAATTCTATGGCAATATACAATTGGAAAGTGGTGAAATGTTCATTGAGCTACAAGACTTGCTCAAAGGTTTCAAAGATCCCTGTGTCATGGACATAAAAATGGGTTGTCGCACATTCTTAGAATCGGAGGTTAGCAACAAAACACTGAGACCTGATCTTTATCAAAAAATGATCAAGGTTGATGCTAACGCTCCCACGCCCGAAGAACATGAACAACAGGCCATCACTAAACTCCGTTATATGCTTTTCCGTGAGGCCATGTCATCATCGCAAAGCAAAGGCTTTCGCATTGAGGCCATACGCCTAAAAGGCAAGCCACCCATGAAAGATCTGAAAACAGTAAGGACCTCCGAACAAATTGCCCAAACAATTGATCAATTTTTGAATTGCAAAAAATCAGTACAAAAAGAATTGATCAATCGGCTGAAGCATATGCGCACGGTCATGGAAAAATCGAAATTCTTTCAAACACATGAAATTGTGGGTTCCAGTATTTTCATTATCTACGACGATGTCAAGGTTGGATGTTGGCTAATTGATTTCGCCAAATCTCGGCCTTTACCTGATCATGTAAAGGTTAATCATCGTGTCGAATGGATACCCGGCAATCGCGAAGAAGGTCTGCTCAAGGGCATGGATGAACTTATTCAGGCATTCGAGAGTGCCAATCAAAAACAAACCACAAGCAGAAAGTTTCTACAAATTTAATTGAAATTAATTTCTTTTTTGGATATATCCACAATCAAGACTGATCATTTTATGTAAAACATTCATTGTAAATGAATCCATCAATTTGCATTAACTTTGTTATTTGAACCTGCATAGAACTTTTCCATATTGGAAACAAATTTGTTATTTTGCCTATTTTAAGTGTTTAGTTTGTGAGCAAAGACTTAATTATTGAATTTGGAAATTGCATATACATATTTTGTTTTTGGCAAACGGCAGAATATTTTCCAAAACAAAACACATTAGTATTGTATTATAATTTTTTAGAAACAGTAAATTGTTAATTTTTTCGTTTTTTTGTGTAGCCTTTTGGCAGATTAATTCGAAGGAAAGCAAAAACAATCATTAAAAGCATTAAATGTCTTAATCAAATTACTTAATTAGTTTTTAAGCTACAAAAATTGTAATGAATTTATATTTAAGAATTTTGTGTTTTTCTATAAGAATCAACAACATAAATGAAAATATATTAATGTATTTATTAAACAAATTAAAAGCAAGTCTTTTTACTTAAATTTAAACGCACCAAAACATAGTGAAACCATTAAGGAACGAATCAATTTCGTGTGGGGGTAACAAATTAATATTTTACAGTTTTGAATTTTTGTATGTTAGGGCGAAAGTCACGTTTCTATTATTTTTATTTGATTATATATAAATTATCAAAATTTCGCTGTGACACTCACAATTATGCAATTATTAGGCCGCACGTCAGGCGTATTTGTATAAATATAAACGGATTAGGACTAAATTATAATGAATTCCTACTGTGGTCACAGAATATAATCTTGTCAAAGATATTGTCAAACGACGCAACAACTCGAGTCAGAGGCTTAAGTTTTGAGCGTGAAATATACTAAATGTTTCCACCGAACTGATTCGTTCAGTTATTTGTACGGAATAAACAAAATTTAAATTTAAACCCGCCACCATAGTATGGAGGGTATATTTAGTTTGTCCATCCGTTTGTAACACCTCGAAATATACATTTTAGACCCCAAAATATACATTTAGCGAAATATACATTTTAGACCCCTTGATAAGCATAAAATTCTATGTCGATTTGCCCTCCCGTCTGTCTGCCTTTGGAGATCACTCTAACTTCCGAACGAAATGAAATAGGTTGATAAAATTTTACTCAAATGTGTATTATGTCTGCAGGACTTTTGATATTGAAAAGAGGTCATGTAGGTCCATGTTTTGGTACAGCCCCCATATAATGGCACCTCCCTTTTTTCGGTATTTTGGTTATTTAAGCGACATTATTCACCGGAAACGTTTCAAATTTGGTATTTGAAGTTCGTAATGGATAGTACAGCCTAAGACAGAAATGCAATGCAGGTCCACGTCTTCGTATAGCCCCCATATAACGGTACCTTCCGATATTCGGTATTTTAATAATTTTAGCGACATTATTCACTGGAAATGTTTAAAATTTGGTATTTATAGTTCGAAATGAATACTACAGCCTAAGATAGAAAACTGTCTGTGCAGGTTCACGTATTTGTATAGCCCCCATATAATGGTTCCCCCGATATCCAGTATTTTGATGATTTAAGCAACATTATTCACCGGAATTGTTTCAAATTTGGTGTTTGGAGTTCGCAATTAATACTACAGCTTCAGACAGAAAATTGTCTGTGTAGGTCCAAGTCTTCGCATAGCCCCCATATAACGGTACATCCTGATATTCGGTATTTTGATGATTTTAGCGACATTATTCACCGGAATTATTTCAAATTTGGTATTTGATGTTCGTAATCAATACTACAGCCTAAGACAGAAAATTGTCTGTGCAGGTCCACGTCTTCGAATAGCCCCCATATAACGATACTTCCCGATATTCGGTATTTTCATGATTTTAGCGACATTAATTAACTGAATTGTTTCAAATTTGGTATTTGAAATTCGTAATGGATACAATTTTTGTCAGAAACCATTACAATATTCAAATGCGAAACTTAAAAAAATATCGGTGAATAAAGTAGATAAAATCACTAAAATACCGAATATAGGGAGGTACGTACCATGAGGGTTATACCAAAACGTGGACCTGCACAGACAATTTTCTGTCATAGGCTGTAGTATCCATTATGAACTTCAAATACCAAATTTGAAATAATTCCGGTGAATAATGTCATTAAAATCATCAAAATACCGAATATCGGGAGTTACCATTATATGGGGGCTATACCAAAACGTAGACCTGCACAGACAATTTTTAGTCATACACTGTAGTATTCATTACCAACTTTAAATACCAAATTCGAAACAATTCCGGCGACTAACGTCTCTAAAATCATAAAAATACCGAATATCTGGAGGTATTGTTATATGGGGGCTATTCGAAGACGTGGACCTGCACAGACAATTTTCTGTCTTAGGCAGTATTATCCATTACGAATTTCAAATACCAAATTTGAAATAATGCCGGTGAATAATGTCGCTGAAATACCGAATATCGGGAGGTACCGTTATATGGGGGCTATACATGGGGGCCAGCACAGACAATTTTCTGTCATAGACTGTAGTATTGATTACGAACTTCAAATACCAAATTTGAAATAATTCCGGTGAATAATGTCGCTAAAATTATCAAAATACCGAATATCGGGAAGTACCATTATATGGGGGCTATACCAAAACGTGGACCTACATGGCAAATTTTCAATGCCAAAAATCCTGCAGACATAATATACATTTGAGTAAAATTTTATCAACCTACTTTATTTGGTACGGATTGTGATTTCCACAGACGGACAGACGAAGGACATCGCTAAATCGATATAGAATTTTATGCTGATCAAGAATATATATATTTTGTGGGGTCTAAAATGTATATTTCGAGGTATTACAAATGGAATGACAAACTTAATATACCTTTCACACTATGGCGGAGGGTATAAAAAAGAAACTGATTTTTTTCGAATCACACAGCAAACAGAATATGTTACAATACTTCAATGATATAAAATGCAGCGAAGAAGACGAAGGGAGTATGATGCTCTGTGTTTTTCGGAACACAACACAAATGACACTTCAGGTCAGAAGAGAGTAAAACATTGTAAATGCCAGACGCATATCTATGTATAGCTCAAAGAACAACAAACTTATATAGCATAAATTCGTGTACCGGTACAAACTTGCAAAATGCCACAAATTGTACAAACAAAAGACTTAATTGTAAGTTATATGATCTCTCTAGCTGCTATATAAACTAAATTAAATTAAATATTTTCTTTAAAAAGTCTGTAATTATTACGGTGTTAAATGGTGCAAAATGGATTGATGGTTGCATGAAATCGATAATTAACCAGACAGCTGTAATAAAATGCCAAATAAATACAGTATCTGAGGCGCAGACTCCACTTGTGTCAAAAACCATGACCTCACCAACAACATCTTTGTTGCCCGCCAAAAATAACAGTAACGACGATATGGCATTTGTTCAATTACCAAAGCAAGCAACAAGTATAGTACGAGGGTCGAGTGAATCTCAGCCGAAAGTAGTACTATCAGTAGAAATTTGCGTATTCGAGGATTGTAGCTGTGATAATACCTACGATTTACTTTGTTCATGGCAGAGAACTCTGAGGGAAAGTTATAAAATACCAATGATAATTCTGAGGAATAATACTGGTCAACCTAAAGGGGGTATGTATAATGAATAAGACTGAGATAAAATATGTCTATTGTTTACCGTTATGATATTGAATATCAAGAATTCTTAACAACGAAATGAGCTTTTTAGAATTAATACTAATATTATATTAAGTATTGTAAATTAAATCAAAATCATTAAGATCAAAACTTTGGAAATAAAAAAAGACATGTTGAAAAATACTGTTAAAATCATAAAAATACAGAATATATGGAGTTACCGCATGGGCAAATTTTGTCATACACTATTCAAATACGATACTTGAAAAATGTCGCTAAAATCATCAAAATACCGAATATCGGGAGGTACCATTAAAAGATTCAATTCCAGAACCTGCAATACAGTAGTACACGGAATAATTTTTACAATATTTTACTTCAACACTGTTCCCGCACACGGACAACACAAATATTTCATTCTCTTTTACTACTATTTACTAGATAAATAAGTAAAAAGTAGTATCATGATTGCTAGCTTTTGATTGCTTGACATACATATTTTTTACTTTTTTAAAGCAACTCTTTTAGAGCTAATTTTAATTAAATTCAATCCATAATAAAGTATGTGGGATAATTATTAACGCAGTTACTTCTGTATAAGGAATTGGTATATATATATGATTACTTAGTTGTAAACCCTAAATTCCTTTTATGAATGTAATGCATAGCCTACAATTTTTCCACTCGATTTCAGTTGGCTATGGACGCAACAGAGCCATTGAAGCTTCCAAAGGCAATTATTTATGCTTCCAGGATATTGATGATGAAATGATGCCGGAACGTATTACAAAACAATATGCATTGGCCAAGCAGCACAAAAACGCGGTAAATATTTAACTTTTTATCCTTTTAGAAAATATATGTATATATATTTTTGCACGTATGTTGGAGAAATCGTTCCTGTTTCCGACAAATTTTTAACATGTAATAATCATAGATATATTTTAAAGAAAAGAAGATTCGGAAAAGAAAGTTGAGATCCTTTCGTTGCGAGTTGAAAATAATTCTAAACAATTGGCGATGGCTACTTGCAGAGTCTCACCACCGTGATTAGTAGGACCTACCTATAGGAAGGCAGAGACCACGACTTTCTCATTTATAATGAGAAATCGGCAGACACATTATATTTATATCATGTATATGTCAATACTTTCAGGAATTTTATGCAATTTAAATATTTATCCTAAAAGTATGCTCTCAAATATGAGTTTGTATTATCAGTAGAAAGTTTGAGCAGACATGATCCTTCTACGTTATCAGAGTTGTTTTTTTTCACAAGAACAAGGAAATAGCCGCAATCTCTGCTAACGACATTGGATGACACTTAGTATCTGAACATAATCCTGAAAGCTAGTTTCCACATCATGTAAGTGTCGTAGGTACAGGGTGAGATAAAAAACTGCAACAAAGTCAAACGCCATAATTTTTATTTTTTTTTTAATTTAATTGAATAAAAGCGAAAAATGTCGGAAATAGAATCAAATTTAAAACAAGTTTAGATTTTTTCGAATTGGTCACTTTGACACGAATTATGGCCTTCAAACGGCCAATGAAACCGTCATGGGCCATATTTTGGCCCATTCCCAGCATAGCGCTTGCTTGAGGTGATCGGCACTTTGGTATTTTTTAGTGCCAACCTTGCTTTACAAAATACTCCAGACACAACAGTCCAACGGATTGGTATCCGGAGATTTTGGTGGCCATTGTGCGCTGGAAATGAAGTGAGGAACCTAATTTTGTAACCATACTTGGGAGGTGGGTGCTGAGTGTGATGGTGCTGAGTTCTGTTGGAAAGTCCAAGGTCTGCGGCCAAAATGTTTGCGTGTCCAAGGCTTTAATACACCCTCCAGAATATTTTCGCCATAATATTCGTCATATATTCTGATGTCACGGTCGATTAATACGAGCGGAAAGCGACCATCGCCTGTTATGGCGGCCCACACCATTACCATGGCCGGCGCTTGTGTTCTGGTGGCCAGCCAAAGTTGCACATTTTCAGCTGACCTCTTTGGCAAGTAAACACAATCATTTTTTTGTTTACAAACAACGAATGTTTTCTCATCAGAGAAAACAAAATTCGGCAGTTCACCACTTTCGGCCAAGCGACGAAGCTCTTTTGAGTCTATTTTCTTTCAGTTACGGTGTAAGTTCTTGCAATTTTTGGGATTTCAATGGCTTTACCACGAGCTCATTTTTCAATATTTGCCGAATGGAATATTGCGATATGTTCAGCTCTCGAGCCATTTATCGGCCACTGCGACGCGGGTTTCGATCAAGCCGCTTTTTTATTTTTCGGGCTACGCTACGCACGGTAGCAAGTGATGGTACGAGACACAAAATATTTATTCACATTTAAATGCTCGAGTGCTCTATCGAATGCCACCTGTGGTGTTCCAGCCAAATATGGAAAATTCTGGAAAATTCTCACCAAAATGGTTTTGTACGCTTGTAAACAATATAATGAGCTAATACTAACTTTTTTACATTTATATTTGCATTTGTATCGCGCCTAAAGGTACTCCTAAAGCAAATTAAGCTAACGCTATACATTATTTTTATAAAAAATATTATATATTGCACCAAAGTATATAATATACTTCAATATTTATTTCATACATTTACTATTAATATGTTGTTTTATACAGTATTGCATTACTTTTTAATTAAAAAGATGTGAGGAACGCCGAAAAGCATGCTCTAAAAATTCAAATGCATGTAACAAGTTGTGTGATCCAGCTGGTTCTGAAACGTTAGACTTAAAAGGCTCAATACATACTTGCAAAAACGTTTTAATCAACTCGGTTTTCGACGAAACTGCTTTATTATCTCCATGCACCTGTATATTTTTTATTATCCGAAATTATATTGTAAATATTTAACAATGAATAATTTACTTATTTACAGATAATAGGATCAAAATTTACACGCATACCAAATAATGCAACATGTCGTTTTACCAAATGGGCCAATGATCTTAGCTCTGAACAGTTAATGATACAAATCTATACATCCAATGGACCCACTATAATAATGCCAACATGGATGTGTCATCGTATGGTTTATAATCAAATCAAAGGTGGATTTTCGGAAGAAGGACAAGGATGTCCGGAAGATTTGATATTTTTCTATAAACATTTGGATAAAAATGGCATTATAAAGAGAGTCGATGAATATCTTTTGAAATATCGATATCACAATGAGGCAACCACATTTAGCGTTCAAGAAAAAACCATCCGACACATAAGACTAAATCATTTATTGCACAACATACTCCAAACAAAACCATGGTCAGACGGTTTTTCCATATGGAATGCTGGTAAACAAGGAAGGAAACTTTTTCGTGAACTGCCAATGGAGCAAAAGAAAAGAGTCGCGGCATTTTGTGATGTTGATAAAAGTATATAATTTGCCGTTCCAATTTCTATTTTAAATTCACCATCTTTTTTTCTTTATAGACAAAATAAATAAATTTTATAAATACTACGATCGTCAAAGTCGTCAACAAACCTTTAGCATTCCCATTGTGCATTTCAGCCAAGTGCAACCTCCAATAATTATTTGTATGAAGCTTGATTTGACGAATGGTGATTTTGAGGCAAATTTACAAAGTCTTCACATAAAAGAGGGACAAGATTATATTTTATTTACATAAAAGGCATTCAACAAAAATAAGAATTAAAAACAAAATTGAATTAAAAATGTAGTGATATTTAATATAGAGTGCAATTTGTAATGAGTGATATTCAATATTTGATTTACGCAATAAAATAATTTAATATTTATTCAACAATCGAATCACTATTCATTGCTTATAACTTCATAAACAATCAGTATTTAACTGGGAATTTCCTATAATGTGAAATGAAAAATAAAAAGATCCAATATTTCTCCCCAAAATAGAAAGTGCACTGAGAATTTTAATTTGCATTTTATTAAATATAAATTAGTTATTTAGCTTTCCTTCTATACACAAAAGTAACAATGTGTAATAGTTAAACATAAAATTTTATAAAAATCATAAACTATAAAACCACACAAACAACTGATTGATGTTTGCATTTCGTTTTAAGTGACTGCAGCCTTTGTGACATTTGCTTAGCTATTAAATCCCAGTCGGTCGAAGACAGATGCTTTTGTGCCTTTCGCCTGAGTGATTGTTGAGCTAGCTACGTGTACTTTTCCTAAACGTTTTGAGATTGCGGATACTGATGATGTAGGGCTTGAGGACTTCACAGATGACATATTTCCCAAACGTTTGTGAACGGGAATATCCCGTCGACTTAAGTCCGCCTTCATCTTGGGTAAAGCTTTTACTTTAGATGGCGGCGATGCTTTAAAGTTCACAGGTTTTTTTACTGTGTGCAGTTTGGAATCTGTAAACAAAGTATTTTGTTACAAATTTTTTTATAAAAAACATTTTTTTATTTGCATACTTAAACCCAATCTTGCTTTAACTGGTTTCTCTTTCATCATATCTTGGCGTGCATTAAACGTTTTCTTCGTTGGTGAACTATATCGCCGTGATGCAAATTCTCTAACTTCAGCGGTAGAAGCAAACTTTACAAATTTCTCACTTCCTCCGGAAGTGTCCATTTCATTATCAAACATCTCCTCGTCTGATACATCTGGGCTATGATGGTTGTCATTATCTGAGTCATCTTTAAGGGGAACCTTTTTAACCAAAAATACTTTTTGTTTGATAGGTTTAACAACAGTTGGAACTGTGGCGACTGTTTTTGCTTTGACTATTGTTGAGAGTCTCTACATTTAAATTGTACCTATTAGTAAGTGTTTATTGGGGATATAGTGCTCTCAACTTACATTCTTGGCCGTGTTCTTTAGTATAGGTTTTATTTGCTTTGTAACTGCAGCCACATCTTCTTCTTTACCACCCAAACGGGAAAATATAGATGATGATGTTTGTGATTTACTTCCCAAGCCAGTGATTCTTACTTTGACATTATCTGAGCTTGTCGATGATGATGTTGTCGATGTTTCTTCGTCAATTTCTATGGTGTCCTTAGAATTAATGGCAAGTCTTTTGAATATAGTGGGTTTCTCTTTGGCAGCTTCTCTGTCAGAATATACTGAAAATGGCAGCAAGTGTAAGAGATAATAAATTTCCAAAAAAGTACTTTACTTACATTTGGCTTGTTTGGCCAATATCTGTTTGCTTCGCTCCGTTGTCCCTGATGGTAGCTTGATCTTATATTTACCTTCATGCTCTGGTAATACCCTTCTTGGTTTAACGGGAGGAAGAGGGGCAACAACCGCTGATGATGTGGTAGTAGATATGGTTGACGATGCTGAAACCATATTCATATGAACATGCATAATGTTTTAAGTTAATCAAGTTTTCTTACGTCTTAGCCGGATTTTATTTTTCTCCAATGGCAGGGCGGGATTAGCTGCAACTGTTGCCACAGGCACCTCTGTGTTCAATACTTTCTCGCGGGCTGTTTGATCACTCACATTCTTTGCATGCCTGTTCAAAGTAAAAAACCCAAATTTTAATAAAAGTTTTCTCGAATAAAATATTCATTCCAAACCTACCTTAATATTGCAATTATGTCTCCCATAGGCGTTATTCCCATTTCTCGTAAATACTCTTTATTTAGATCCATTAACATGTCATTCTGAATTCTGTTTTCTACAAAAATGTGGGCATACGTTGCCGCGGCAGGGGACGGTATGCCGGAAGCATTGAAGAATTTTACCCATTGCCCTGTGGACAATAATAAGATATATAATATAAAATAGTTTAACGAAATGCCTAACAAATCGCCTTATTGGAACGGGACAGAAATTCACTGTGTATCTACTGGGTTCTACATCATTTCAATGCTAACTATTTTACATTATAAATGATGTCCGCAACACAACAAAATACTCTACCTGCAGCTGAACTTGACATTTTCCTTTCAAAAACAGGTGCTTTGATTGAATTTTAACTATTTTAATGTGAATTTCCTCTTCAACCAAATATGAAGCTAAATATACCACAAATATCGTCCTAATTATTGTTTTTGATAGAATATAAACGTCAAATTGTCTTCTTCTTGTTCTAGCATTTGGATTCGATGTTGCCACTTTGCCGGCGATGTTTATTAAATCACTACATATGGCACTACTTTGGATATTTTTTTATTTCTACCATGGTAGAAGAATATAGGTAGACGCATCGACGCAGCTGCTGAGACAATGAACTGTCAAACCAATTTTGGAATTGAAAATGTTAAATGAAAAATTATTAAAATTTGTAAAAATTGTCGAAAAAGGCATATTATAATAACCCCCGAATGACGTCGTATAAGAAAACATATAAAAATCTATTTTTATTTGAAAATAAATTTCAAAATTTTTGACATATCAATGCTCCTAAGCGTTGATGCATCTACCTGTATTTTTCTACCATGATTTCTAGATAAAAGGCGTTGTCAGACGGAATGTGATTAATAATCATCAATCTTCGCGGGTTTTTCCCAAAATAAGAATTTAGTTAAAAAATTAAAAAAAAAAGGTTATTTAAAAGTCAATGTGTCAAAGTGCAACGAATTGTTTTGTTTATTTGATGCACAATTTTCCAACTTACACTGCCTTTACACGGTGCAATTTTTAGCTGGCATTTTTATCAATTCTCTTTTAAAATTTCTGCGTAAATCTTCGCGCCTTTACACGGTGGCATTTTACGATAATAGTACTTGGCATTTTTTCTGACATTTTATTTTATTCAGTATTTCGTATAGAGCTAATTGTTTGTAACAGATATTTATAAAGAAGTGATTTAAAATTAAATGTGTGAATCTAAAGAAGAAATGATGGAAAAAGTTATTGAGGTGTTAAATATTGCATTATTAACTTTTATTTTAACTTTCTTTTTTACTTTTTAATACTTCCAATTAATTTTCATATAATTCACTATACAATTCAATCACTAAAAACATAACATCACAATAAAAGAAACGCATCAAAAATTACAATAAAGAAACGATATGAAATGTCAAAATCATAAAAAATTCGGAAGAAGCAAAAAGAGAAATGCAAAGAAAATGGCATGTAACCCTGTGCGGTGGCTTATCGTGCCATTTTTTCTTCTATCCTTGTCTCTCTACACCTTTTACCAACAAAAAAAAATTGCATGGTTAAAAAATGTCACCGTGTAAAGGCAGTGTTAGTCTACACTCTCTTGTACCATGTACCATGTGCAAAACCATTATGTGCCGTTTCCACTTTGATTCGCTCTCTATTCATATTTGTACATTGTTCAAATCAATTCACTCTCTAAACAACGAAAAAATATGTCCCATCCCTAACAAATGAGAGCATTTATCGAAAAAAAATTAATTATGAATTTAAAAATTAAAACTAGAAAAATTTTTGGGAAGACTGAAAGTTATGAATGAAAACTACAATGTTGAATGGCGTATGTACATTCAAACGAAAGTACATTTGGTTTTCTCTCCGCAGAAAACTGCAAACAAACGAGGCAATATTTTCAAAATGTTTGTATCGGCAGAAAAAATATTTGACAAGGGTCTCTCCAGCAGAATTTAAAAATAGAAAAATACAAAAATATGTTCAAAATGTCAACATTTACAAAAAGTTGAAAACGTAAATAAAAATTGCAAATTTAAGTTGTGTTCCAGAACCTGCAAATTAGTACTAATTAGCACTAATTCTGCTACAACGCGTTCCCGTACTCCAAAAACTAGCAAAACTTGCAGCTCTCTCGAGAAAAAAATGGCGCTGAGTGGTGCACATTTCTGCTTGTTTTAGCTACATGAATTTGGCCGAGCAGAAATGTGCATATTGTAAATTTGACATTTAATTGGCAGGGCTAACAAGGTTGAAAAATGTATTGATACATTTCAATAAAGAAAATGATCAACTTGAAAACTAAAGGAAAAACTAATATTTGTCGTGCAAAAAACAAAAAGAGAAAATATGGAGCAACTGATGTATTCACTTTTTGATGATTCCAGCAGTGAAGAGGACTGGCTGAATGAGGAATCAGATTATTAATTATTATTATAAATTATTAATTTTAACTTATCGTCTTCAATACTCATTTTTTAAATGTTGGCGCTCTTTTCAGTAAGGTTTCAGCTGTCCGATTTAGGCTGTTTACTTTTGGAATTTTGAATTTTGACATTTTATCGCATTTCTGCTAATTTTCCGTTCCCTTATTTTTTGAGCAAACCTAAATGAGAATGACATTTCGAACTGTTCTCTCTTCTGCTAGTTTTACTACTAAAAAAGTACTGGAACACAACTTTAATGATATAATTATTCTTTGGAAGAAAAACAATAATTTCTTCTATTCATAGTTGTGTTCCAGAACCTACAAATTAGTACTAATTCTGCTACATCGCGTTGCCCTACTCCAACAAATAGCAAAACTTGCAGCTCGAGAAAAAATTGCGCTGAATGGTGCACATTTCTGCTTGTTTTAGCTACATGAATTTGGCCGAGCAGAAATGTGCATATTGTAAATACGACATTTAATTGGCAGGGCTAACAAGTTGAAAAATGTATTGATGCATTTCAATTTTCGCTCGTCACAACAAAAATAAAGAAAATGATCAACTTAAAAACTAAAGAAAAAACAAATATTTGTCGTGCAAAAAAACAAAAAGAGAAAATATGGAGCAACTGATGTATTCACTTTTGGATGATTCCAGCAGTGAAGAGGACTAGCTGAATGAGGAATCAGATTATTAATTATTATTATAGATTATTAATTTTAATTTATCGTCTTCAATACTCATTTTTTTTAAATTTTGGCGTCCTTTTCAGTAAGGTGTCACCAGTCCGATTTAGACTGCTTACTTTTCCAATTTTGACATTTTATCGCATTACTGCTAATTTTCCGTTCCCTTATTTTTTGAGCACACCTAAATGAGAATGACATTTCGAACTGCTAGTTTTACTACTAAAAAAGTACTGGAACAGAACTCATATTAGTGAGAATTTCATGTATTTTTGTATAAATTCCCATTAAAATCAACAAACAAAGTTTTTGAAAAAAAAAGGAATTATTTTACTATGAATTACGAATCGTGCCGTATGAACGGGTTAATTCGTGTACCTAATTCTGAGAGCGAACAACGTGATTGAAAGTGTAATGAGAACATAACATTATCGTCCGTTAGCAGCTTAATATGTCAACTTTAGATATAACCATGGTAGAAGAATAAAGGTAGATGCATCAACGCTGGGGAACATTGGTCTGTCAAAATGTTTTGTCAAAAATATGTAGATTTTTATATGTTTTCTTATACAGACACCAATCGGAGGTCCATGGTTTGAACCATGAACGCTATTAAATTTTTGGTTTTGCGCCTTTTTTTGCTCGTGAAATACTTCATTTTCTTTTGAAAACTCTAATTTTAAGCAAATGTAAATTTTAAAATCGATGAGAACTTTAAAATAAATTTGGGGGTGAAATGGAAAACTATTTCTTCAAGATAGCGGATTTGTAGATTAAAAACAATGTAATCGTATTATTAATATTATAAAAGTTAATCGAATTTAATTAACTTCGAAATATGTTGGTTTTTAGAATATGGCAACTTCACAACTAATCGTTCTCCCCTATTGTAAAATGGAAAACATTTGGCCAGTTCCACGCTCTTTTAGTGGATGTGTTGAGTTCCTCATGTCTCATTCGTAAACAACAGAAATACCTCGCGCGCATTCGCTCTGTTCTGAAACAACACAACAGGACAGAAATGCGCGCGCTTTAGAAGCACAACTCACCCACAATAACAACCAGCTCATCTCACATTAAGTTGAACAGGAATTAAAAATCTAATACGAATAGTTGTGTACTCGGTTTTAATCCAAGTTCATAGTCGAGTTCGAGTTTCAGAACTTTGAGTATAAAAGGTCGATTATTCCATTAATCGGAAGTCGACTTACCTATCCCTAAAGCGGCAAAGTACAACAAAAATACATCAAAGAACTCAAAGAACAATTACAAAAGAAAAATAAAAAACATAAACATAAATGCAATATTGCAATACTAACAAGCTAACAAACCGATTTGGATTTAAAAAATACGTAGTATGTGTCTATACAGTATCACATGGTACTGAACATACCATACAATTCAATATAGAACGTTAACCAAAGGAGGAGTATAGAAGGAAGGAGATAATAAGAAAAGAAAACATTTGTAAATAAACAAAGCTGTATAAACAAAATGTGGCTGGTGACCTACGATTATATGGAAGAATTCTTACAAATTCTTAAAATTTATATAGCATTTGTCAACTTTATTGATCTGGCTTGTCCGACTCGTTTACGATGGGCTAGAGAAGAATTCTCCCAGAGAGAACGGGAAATGCATTCATTATACTTGCAACTAATGGATTTAGTCAAGCAGAGGAACAATAGGGAGTTTCGCAAATTTACACGGATAAATATATCTACCTATGAACATCTGGTACACTTACTGAAGAAAAAATTGCAAAAGTATTCGGCAAGAAAGCCTATACCACCGGAATGCCGCATATTAGTTACGCTAATGTAAATTAAATTAATGCAACGTCCTCCAGGCAGATTCTTACTCACAATTTTTATTTTCAGGTACTTGGCATATGACTCTCCCCGGCCTTTGTTGCAGATGGCATTTCGTTTGGGTTCAACCACATTGCGTTCCATTATCACTGAAACTTGTGAATGTATATCCAAAGAACTCTCAGCGGGATATTTCCTTAATTCCTTAAACGCCGATGATTACTATGAATTAAGCGAAGAACACCTTGAAGCAACGGGTCTACCGAATTGTGTTGGCGGTTTGGATGCCATACAATTCTTAACAGAAAGAAAAACTCGAGATCCAATAATTTTAGTTGCATCAAGTAATACCAAATACCAGTTGATTAATGTGGACTTGGATATGATGCAAGATTTAATGGAAAAAGACAACGTTGTAAACAATTTGCTTCAAAACAATGCAAGTCGTTTAAATTTACCAGCCGATATGCACATGTCGGAAACTGGTGTAATTGTACCATCATATTTCGTAACTCCACCCCGTTTTCCATTCGTTAAACATACCATGAGACCATATCCGGGAAAGCTTTTGAATGCTCAAAAGGAGGCGTTTAATGCTCGGCTGAAATGCTGCACAGACTATCTAGACAATGCGTTTGGAATATTACTATACCGATGGAAAGTATTACAAAATCGTTTTTCTGGCCTACCGGAGATCTCTTGTAACATCATTAGATCTTGTGTTATTTTACATAACTTTGCAATTGAGCACGATCCTTCGTATTTACATAACCAGCTAATGGATCACATAGACGAAGAAACGCAAGAATTCAAACAGGGTGTTTGGCGTGAGACTGTTAAGTTACCAAAAACAAAACTATTCAATAACTATGATAATTCAGCGGATAACGAAGCTTTTGCAAGTAGGGATTTATTAAAGGATTACTTATTCAGAGAAAGTATGTAATAAATGTTAATATATATATATTGTTATCTAAGAAGTATATGGTTTATCTTGATACAAAACAAGCTCTTGGGTAACGACTTCCAGAAGCCTTTGTTGTAGACGCATTAAATCAATGGGCGATAGTTTTGCTTCTTCCACCTGCAAGGCCATGGCATTGAAGAAAACCTGGTTGGGAGAAGGTGGCGTAAAGCGCTGCTTTGCGTTTTTTAACAGCGTCGATATCTCTTGACATGCTTCATTTATGATAGCATCTTTGTCTACTTTTCGCTTTTTATTCATTTCATCCGATGTACCAATTTTACTGAGATTCGTCACCGTCGCTGTCGAATTATCAATTTTTTTTATATATTCATTTAAATCAAAATTTTCTGCTTCGTATTCGATTTCGTGTTCCTCCTCCTCGTCATTGTATGTATTAGCGTCTTGAATGTATTGGGAAATTTCGGTATCACTTTCATTTAATTTAACGTTTGTGGGTGTCCTAAAGAAAATAATGTGGAAATTTAATTTCAATTAAAATTGAAAATATGAATTGATTAACTCACTCTTTGACTTGACTATTTAAAAATTGTAAATGATGATAATACTTCCAGGTGTAATGTGAACGCTCAGCTTCATCCTTTTCTTCTTCGCGTTGTTTTCGCTGTCGTTCCCTAATGTAGGTATCCCTCAGAGTTTTCCAACGAATGCGTACTGTGCTTGCTAGAATTACATGTAAAGTTAACAAATAATTAACACAAATTTATAAAGAGAATTTTATGAAAAATAAATTGTGTCAAACTTCGCCTTGTTTCACACGGCTTTTGATAAGAAACGCAAATGTTCTGGGACACTTATTACTTACGATCCCTTCTCAGCTGCAGAGCCACTTCTGCCCATTTCTCCATCTTTTCTTCTCTATAACGGGGATTCCGATATTTCCTATCGTATAAAATCGGATTAGCTTTGATTAATTCTATCAACTGATACTCCATGTTCGTCTGTCAACACAAAAATAAAAACACAATTAATTTTTACAATAAAGAACCAATTCCAATGTTTCCAATCTGTTTACTTTCTTCTTCTTGCAATGGCGTTGATAAGCAACATATATATGTGGCAACACCTTGTAGATGTTATTTTAAACACATTAATAGAGATGGCGTTTAACTACATTTAAATGGTAGCTTTATTTGAAACCGAGCGTTCATCGCCAAAATTGCATAACTTAAACATGTTTAAGTTATTTAGATTACCTATGACGAATCTCCATAGATCGAAAATTTAGGCATTTTTTGTACACATCTGACCAAAACATAGGGAAAAGCTTTGTCCTCGTTTGTTTTCAACGTTTGGCAACACTTTTCGAACACACTGGCAGCGTTAAACATCTGGCATTTTATTTAGAAACACATTGACAGCGTTCACCAAACATTTCGTAAAGATTTGATTCAATTTATTTAAAATGCAATATTACAATAAAGTAAAGAACACCAATATTTTGGTTCGTTACGACTACATGGAGAAATTCATGGAGTTATTTAAAATATATCTTGCTTTTGTGAACTTCATCGATGTTGTTTGTCCCAATACTTCACGCCAGCTATGGACGCGTGAGGAGTTCTCGCAAACTGAAAGGGATATGCACAGTCTATTTAATCAAATATTTGAACTAATCAAGCAAAGAAATAATCGGGAGTTCCGCAAGTTCACACGATTAAATATAACAACATTTGAGCATTTATTGCGATTGTTGAAGAAAAAATTGCTGAAGTACTCCCAGAGAAAGCCCATACCACCACAATGCAGATTACTTATAACGATCATGTGAGGAATTTCAATATAGCACGGCATAAGTATGTTACTAATACATTTTTTCAATTACAGTTATTTAGCTTTTGATACACCAAAACCCTTGCTTTCGATGGCTTTCCGTCTGGGCATGTCCACTTTGCGTAAGATAATCAGCGAGACGTGTGAATGCATAGCTAAAGAATTATCCGGTTATTTTATCGTAAATATGGACGATGAAGGATACTATGATCAAAGCGATGCCTATATGGAGGCAACTGGCCTGCCAAACTGCGTGGGTAGTTTTGACGCCATTCAATTTGTTACCGAACGTAAAACCCGTGATCCCATTGTTTTGATGGGTTCCTGTAACACAAGATATCAATTGGTCAATGTTGATGTCGGCTTGATACATGAAATAGGCGAAAAAGATAACGTTTTCAAGAAAATTCTTGAAGATGATTTACAATCTCTACCGGAAGATATGCAACTACTTGATGCATCAACGGGTATGATGCTGACTGCTTATATGATCACACCATCCACTTTTCCTTTGTTAAAACACACAATGAGACCGTATCCAGGAGTAGCGTTGTCTGAGGACAAGCTTCACTTCAATGAACGTCTCAAAAAGTGTTCCAATTTACTTGACAATTCCTATGGAGTACTCTTGCACAAATGGCGAGTATTGCAAAATAAGTTCACTTGTCTTCCAGATACTGCTTGCCACATTGTAAAGGCCTGTGTTATATTGCACAATTTTGCAATAGACCATGACAAATCATATTTTTTCAAGGAACTAGTCGATCACTATGATGAAGATACTCAGGTATTTAAAAAAGGAGTATGGCGGGAAACTATTTCGTTGCCAAAATCAAAAATATACGAAAATTTTCAGTGTAACTCAGGAAATGAGGGTTTCCTCAATCGAGATTTATTAAAAGACTATTTGTATAGGGAAAATATGTAACAACTTGTTTTTAAATTTATGTTTCGTAAGTTCTATTCTGTTGATACGTCATAATTTCTTGTGTCACTACTTCTAGTACTCTTTGTTGAAGGCGCATCAAATCGACTGGATTTAATTTGGCCTCTATCACTTGTATTGCTACGGAATTGAAAAATGTTTGCGTTGCACTGGGAGGGGTAAAGTGGTGTTTGGCACTTTGCAACAAAGCAGTCATTTCTTGACATGCTTCATTGATCATGGTCTCTTTATCGAATTTCTTCTTCTTTGGAGGTTCATCGCTTGCAGCCTGAGCAGTAGTTGTCGTTGCAGTAGTGTTTTGTTGTGTACTGGAATCGAATTTCTTAAGATAGTCATTCAAATCGAAATTTTCAACTTCAAATTCTTCTTCGACGTTGGTATAGTCAGGGTCTGTGTGTTCAATTTGTGAGTCCTGGTCGGATTCTTCATCCCTCTCTGATTTGTAATCAACAAGAACCCTAGAAATAAATTCATCATTATATTAACATAAAATAAAGTGGAAAAACCAATCAACTCACTCCGTATATTGATCTTTCAAAAACATAAGTGCATTATGGTATTTCCAATTTCTAGACGTAAGGGCATCCTCCTCATCGACTTTCTTGCGATGTAATCTCTTCTTGAAAGTGTCTCGCAGACTTTTCCATTTGAGTCTTAGAGTATTGGCTATAAAGTTAGAGAAGTATCATCGTCATTGTGTTCTAAACCGATAAAAACGTCGCCCGACAAAGCGTGCGTGCGTTCCATTGTGCCCATTTCTACTTACGATCTCGACGCAACTTCCTGGCGATTTCATTCCATTTTGCCATTTTTCGTTCGCGATAATGCAGGCTACGATACTTTTTATCGTACATTATTGGATTGGCTTTGACAAAGTCAATTAACTCAAATTCCATCTTTAATTCTAAACACAACACAAAATAAACAATTTAAGAGTCGACTATTAATGAAATCATATGTTTATATAGGGTTGACCACCTAGTTCTTATAAGGTAGTTGCCACATTGCGATATTTTCAATAGCCCCAATAAATTAAAAGCCGTAACTTCATAGTGGCAGCAAAGCTATAACAAACCATTTCGGCAATAAATCAACACATAGAAATTTGTTATTGTACGTAATGGTAATGTTAATGTTCAAGTCAAATGTAAAGCTTATTTTTGTCCGTTTATGTTAAGCATTTTTACTACATACTTTAAGGTGCTTTAACAATTTGTTATCCGAAAAGAAACAAATATATATATATACATACTCATAGTATATATGTAATATAAATATATGTATATTACATAGCCTTGCACAGCATATGATTTTTGAAGCATAGCTTTCCGATAACCGCTGTAAAAAATATAGGGCACACTTAAACGTCTGCCACAAAAATGTTACAAAATCATTTTACATATGACTTTAACACGATGTGAAAACGGACATTTACTGATGTGTGGTAAACAAATTATAATTCTTTTAATTATAAAATATACGTTTCTGACAGCGTTACCTAAAATTTCCACATTGAGAGTTGAACTGACTCTTTTTTATGTGTCCAAAATATAAATGAATTATTCAACGTGTAATAGGGAAATTGATAGGATATTTGTCAGTTGGAAATTGTTCCATAATAAAAGAAATGTGAAAATTACGTGATGACATCAAAAAATTCCGGAATAATCAAGTGAAATTCTTGAAAAACGATAAAATGTGTTTTCGAAGTCGAGTGGGTTGAACGCGTAAATCAGCATGTTGACTATGCAAAAGATGATGAGAGCCACCTAGATAAAAAGACAAAACTAAATTTTCGTTGTCTATATCTTCATTTGTCTATGATTGATGTTAATGTGGCGTTTCCACTGCACTTGATTCGCTCTCTATTCGTTGTTTGGGCCTTAACTATGAAAAAACTATCTAATTCTTCACACAAAATTTCCTGAGCGAACACTCATATTTGTACGTTGTTCAAATCAAATCACTCTCAGAACAACGAAAAAATATGTCCCATCCCTAACAAATGAGAGCATTTATCGAAAAAATAAATTATGACATTTAAAAATTAAAAATGGGAAAATTTTAAAATTTTTTGGGAAGACTGGGAAGACTATGAATGAAAACTACAATGTTGAATGGCGTATGTACATTCAAACGAAAGTACATTTTGTTTTCTCTCTCATCCGAGGTGCGCATTTTGTCCACGAGTTGAAATTTCCACAGAAAACTGGAAACAAAAGATGCAATATTTTCAAAATGTTTGTGTCGGCAGAAAAAATGTTTAACAAGTGTCTCTCCAGCAGAATTTGAAAATAGAAAAATACTAAAATATGTCCAAAATGTCAACATTTACACAAAAAGTTGAAAACATGAATGAAAATTGTAAAATTAATGATATAATAAATCTTTGGGAGGAAAACAATAATTCTTCTATTCATATTAGTGTGAATTTAATGTATTTTCGTATAAATTCCCATTTAAATTAAACAAACAAAATTTTTGAAAAAAGGAATTATTTTACTATGAATTACGAATCGTGCCGTATGAACGGGTTAATTCGTGTACGTGATTCTGAGAGCAAACAACGTCATTCAATTTATCGTGTGAACATGCTATAAGATAAAGTCTGGTGTATTTCGATAAAGAAAAAAACATTTTACCATAGTAGGGAAGTTGAAAATTTGTGTACCATGGTAGAAGATATTCTTCTACCATGTTGTGTACGCTATGTTCGAATTTTAGGTAACGCTGTGAAATATGTTTCATTAAATTAAAAATTGTGAATGAAAAATTGCATAAAAATATCGGTTCTATAGTGTTGTAAATTGTACATATTTTGTTATGGTAAAAAGGTGAATATTATTGAACTTTGCGTCAAGTTTTAGTCAGGATTGTCAATTTAGAAATTAAAATATTCTTTTTGGGATTGTAGGAAATGCGAAAAATTAGACGTACCCATTTTTCTTCGAAGTGAAATATTTTAGGATATTAAAGGCGGTATTTTATTATCAGACCGACATTCCCAATATGGACTGAGTACATATTATTAATCAACTGGGTTTGGGAGTTACACTACAGTAATTGATCATGCATATTATTATATGCATTATAAAACATAAGAGAGCATGACTTTACCTTCCTGATTCTACCATGGCTGTACTTTACTGTTAAGCGTTTCATTTGGGGAGAGCGTCCGAGAGTTTGCTATAAGAATGGTATAGATAATTGTGGAACAATTCACTTTACATATGACTCTAACATCATTTTTAATCTAGCCTTTACATTTGACTCTAACGTCATGTTTAATCTAGCCTTAAGCAACTTTCCTAAATTTGGCTCAATTTGTTAAACACAATGTTAAATTGGACTGTAGGTTGCAGAATTTTCTGCCGACTAAATGTATGCTCACATTTTAAGTATCTCTGACAACATATTTTTATAATATGTAACACCATTACAATGATTTTTTTTTTAAATTCAATTAAATTATAAGTAATACGAAAAAACTTGTTCGTTGTTGTAACAAATAATATAATTTTTTGCGAGTGAACTATAAAGTATGTTTTAAAAGCTAAAATATTTCACGTTTGAATAATATAGGTAGCCCCATCTTGTGACATAACAATTTCCTGCGTCACTGCCTCCAATACTCTTTGTTGTAAACGCATTAAATCAATTGGCGGCAAATTGGCCTCCTCAACCTGTAGTGCTAAGGAGTTGAAAAATATTTGTGTTGCAGATGGAGGTATAAAATGTTGTTTGGCACACTGCAAGAGTGAAGCCATTTCCTGGGCAGCTTCACTTATAATAGTGTCTTTATCAAGCCTCCTCTTTTTGGTTTGTTCTTCAACGTTTGTTGCATTGGCATTATTGTTTGATACATCGAATTTCTTAAGATATTCGTTTAGGTTAAAATTTTCAACCTCAAAATCAGGTTCATTGGGAATTGTGTGATCTTCCTCAACAATGTCTTCTTCATCGTGTAAAAATTCTTCCTTTAACTGTTCTTCTAAATCCAGTTGTAGCTCCTCGTCGTCTTCCATTTTTACCTCTGCGGTGCTAAAAAAATATTTATTTGTGAATAGTAATTAATTAAACTGAAAGGGCATATTCACTCACTCCGTATATTGATCTTTCAAAAATATTAAATGTTCGTTATATTTCCAATTCTTTGTGGGTGTCTCATCGTCTTCACCTTCTTTGCGCAACAATCTTCGTCTGTAGGTGTCGCGTAAGCTTTTCCATTTCAGTCTTACAAGGTTTGCTGGAAAATACGGAAATTTGTATTGAAAATGTTTACCGTTTTGGTATTCCTCTATATTTACGATCTTGACGCAAAATCTTTGCAATTTCATTCCATTTGCTTATCTTCTCTTCTCGATACTGAGGACTCCGGTATTTTCGATCGTACAAAACTGGATTTTGTTTTACATATTCAATTAGTTGATATTCCATTACAAAAAATAATTTTTCTATTCAAAAATATATTTTATTTTGCTTATTGTTGTTCTTTCTATTGTATTTCTTTCGCTATCAATATTGTTCAATTTAACTATTCACTGTAAGGAACGATTGATTAGCTAAGCCAAAATCGTTCCCTTGCTTGAATAAATAAGAAGACAATTCATCGTTTTTAAATACACTTATCGGTCAGCTGTTCTATACAAGATGACAAATAAACAATGTTTAAAGCTGTTATTATACAACAGTAATATGGAAAGACCTATGAATAATTAATAAAATTGAATTAGCAAGAAATATACAGAAAGAAATAACGCATTATTTGAAGTGACCACCAATTTTCAAGATCTTTTGTTTGGCTTTCTTGCCTTATCATCGTTTTATAATCAATTTCGATTAAACGATTTTTTTTACGTTAACAGCTGTGACGACACTTCACTAACCATATCATGAGATGTAAACAATAATATTTACAGTCGGCATTGTAGAACACGCGGTACTTTGCAGTAGAAACTATGTCCAACTTTGATTTGCTAAGCGAACAAGGACTCCGTTTGGATGGTCGTCGTCCACATGAATTGCGCAGAATTAAATGTAAATTGGGAGTGTTTGAGCAGCCCGATGGAAGTGCTTATTTGGAACAAGGTAACACAAAGGTGTTGGCCGCTGTTTATGGACCACACCAGGCTCAAAACAAGAAAATGGACATAAATGAAGTGGTCATTAATTGTCAGTACAGCATGGCAACATTTTCAACGGCTGAAAGGAAAAAGAGACCACGAGGAGACAGAAAATCGCAAGAAATCACACTGTACTTAAGACAAGCCCTACGGGCGGCTATAAAAACAGAATTATATCCAAGGTCACAAATTGACGTTTATGTTGAGGTGATGCAGGCTGATGGTGCTAATTACGCTGTCGCCTTAAATGCAGCAACGTTAGCATTGGTGGATGCTGGAATTTGCCTTAAGGAATATGTGGTTGCGTGTACCGCATCGTTGAGCAAGAACAACATTCCATTGACCGATGTGTCCAACCATGAGGAGATTTCGGGAGGTCCCACCCTTACTGTTGCCTCACTTCCAACATCCAATAAAATTGCTTTCATGGAAATGACGCAACGCTTCCATTTAGACAATTTGCCCAAGGTAATTGAACAGGCTTTGGCGGGTTGTCGTGAGATTCAAGCTATTATGGAAACTGCTGTACGCAAACACTTGATGCAGATGGGATCTGCTGGAGATTGGAGTAATATTGCAAAATAAAATTTCAGTTTAACATTTATAACAACTTTTGATTTATTTGTTTTTTTTTTTTTAATTCGATTATTTTGTATCCGGCATTTTCCAATTTTCAACAATATCTGCCAATTTCTTTTTCCGACATTCAATGGCCACTTTTTGCATCAGACTATTTAAATGCTCGCCGCCTTGAAGATACTCTTTAAGATTGTGTACAGTACCGCCCTGTATACGATGATCCGTAATACGATCTTGTACAAAGTTGTAAGTGCGAATTTTTTCATTTCTATCTAAATTGCCTTGCTGGGCTCTTCGTGTTGCTCTTGTGGAGGCTTGTGCTGATTCCAGTTGTATTTGTTCTAATTTGGCTTTCAGACGTTTCAGAGCAATTTCCCTATTTTTGATTTGAGATCGTTCCGATTGGCTTTCAACGGCAATTCCTGATGGCAAATGCACAATCCGCACTGCGGAATCAGTGGTATTTACGTGTTGACCTCCAGCGCCACTGGCTCTTTTCGTTTCGATTTTCAAATCCTTTTCCGCTATAACAACATTAATGTCGGCTGGCCTTGGAATAACGGCTATTGAGGCCGTACTTGTGTGTATGCGACCAGATTTCTCAGTAGCCGGCACTCTTTGAACGCGATGTACTCCAGCTTCGTAACATATCGTTTGATAAGCTTGATCGTCGTTGACTATGACATTGGCATGTCGCAGACCTCCAATATCTGTAATATCTTCAGCTAGAACATCATAGTCCCAGCCATTGTTATCAAAGAAATTGATGTACATGTCGTATAATTCTCTGGCAAAAAGCATTGCTTCCTGACCCCCTGCTCCAGCATTTACTTCGAAAATCAACGATGGATAGTATTCGCTGTCAGCCAGAAGCAACATTTTAGTAAGGAGATCAGCTTCCGTCTTTTTCATCAAGTCAGCGTACACTTGATTTTCTTCTTCGATTAACTGTCGCATATCACTGTCCTTTTCTGCTTCAATTTCCTCCTTCGAAGTCATATTACCCTGCAGAGCTCTATGCTGTTCCAGCATTTTAACAATATCTGACAATTGGCTCATTCGCTGGTATTCCTTTTGACTGCCGGACGAGTTAACTCGCAAGTCGTAAAACTCTATCCGCAAAGATTCCAGAAGCTGTTGTAACTTTTCATTCTGGAAGTCCAAGAAGTTGGGCGAACTAACGGTGGAAAATGCATGGCCACGTTGGTAGGGTGAAGTATGTAAGGTCGTCGAAAATTTGCTTAGATTCAACGTTAACACACGTGAGTATCTTAATTTAGATAATGTATTTAAAAACATCTTATTTTTAGTTTTATAACAGGCAAATTGAAGTAAAAAAGTAAACAATTTTGACCATATGGTCAACCGGTGTTATTTATCGTTATCGGTTATAGGATCTGTTCACTAACCCCTCTATAACTCAATTGTAAGAAGCCCCAACCAGACCAGCTGTTTGCCAAATTACACCGTTGTGTTAGAAACGCAGTAGAAAAAATGAACTGCAAACAAAATATCAAAAAGATATAAAAGATATATACAAGTTTGACCATGGAATTGAAAGATTGAACGGTTTGGATCAAATTTTGAATAATTCTGACAGGAAGGGGCCATAAACTCAGGTTCGTATTTCTATAGTTTTATGCAAATGAGAAAATTCGGTTAATAATTTAGTTAAAATCATCAAAATACCGAAATCATTAAAATAACGAATATCGGGAGGAAACATTATATGGGGTCTATACGAAGACGTGGACCTGTACAGACAATTTTCTGTCTTAGGCTGTAGTATCCATTACAAACTTCAAATAGGAAACAATTCCGGTGAAAAACGTCGCTAAAATCATCAAAATAACGAATATCGGCAGGTACCATAATATGGGGGCTACACCAAAATGTGGCCCATTTTCAAATCCAAAAGTCCTGCAGCCAAAATATACAATTGAGTAAAATATTATCAACCTTCTTCACTTCGTTCGGCAGCTAGAGTAATTTCCACTATTCGTTTTTTTTTCATCTCAAAGTCAAAAAATATGTTTAAGTTTTCATGCGTTTCATTTACAATTGTACGCATTCCGACAATTCGGAGATTAGGTGGACTTATGGGATGATTTATTAAATAGGACTTGACAAGAACCTAGCTGTCCTGTCTTTTTTAAACGCAGGTTTAATTATCTCCAAAAACGTAAATTTTAATTGATGATTTCTGCGGCCTGCCTTGTAAATGTTTTCGGGATTTAGAGTAAATTTTGAGTGTTAAACTGAGAGTACATAAAAGGCTTTTCTGGCTGGCTTCTTCGGAAAAGAACAAAGGAGCCTTGGGCCAAAATCGAACTAAGTCAACTTAAAACTCCCTTGTTCATTTCCGAAGAAGCCAGCCGATGACAAGCCAGCCAGATAAGCGCTTTATGTATTTCCACCTTTATTGTTTCAGCACATTACTTTCATTTGAGTGTAATTGTTTCAGAACATTACTTTCACAACAATCTGTTCACTTTATTAGTGAGTTTAGATCAATCTTATAATGCTGTAATAATAGCAAATTTGATAGATATATAAAATAAATTGCTAATACTAGTTAATTTTATTCAACAATATCATCTGGTGAATTATATACATTTGTATCAAATTGTTGCCCTGTAAAATATTTATCGCACACTAAACTATTTGCGTCAATAATCCCGTCATCCTCCTCTGCATTTGCCTGTACAAAATCCAATAAAGCAATTTTTGGTGGCAAATTAATGCGATGCACTCGACGTATGTGTTGCCTTAAATTTGTATTGGAACTGAATACCTTATGACATATCACACACCGATGTTCCGTATGCACTTCTCTTATATGACGATAAAGTTCTGCGGCTAAACTGAAGGGTTCCGTACAAAATTTGCAGACATGGGACTTCTGTATATGTGTTTTTAAAAACTCTAATTTCGCAAATGCTTGAGGACAATACTGACACATATATATTGCTAGGGCAGGTGGGGCTTGGATCAATGTTTCCTTACAATCAACCATCGATGAAGAATCCAATCTTTGAAGTTCATTTACATCTTTGATTTCTATTGCTTTACAGTCTATTGTGAGTAGGTTACGTTTCAAACTGGCGTCTTCGCAATCTGATGCAGATGTTTCTAATGATTGTATTTTTGTTGGAAAATATTGTGTTACCACAAAAGATGAGTTCGTACTTATCTCACGAATGTGGGATTTATTTTTTGGCATAGGCAGCAGTAATTCTTTTTTATCAGGAGAATCTGTTTTGTCATGAGGAATTTCTGCATTTTCTTCAATTGACTCCAAACCTAAATGTAACTCATTTGCTTCTGCTTGTATACAGTCTTCCGAAATAACCTCTCCATTGTTACATTGATCACTCAACTCTTGGTAGTAATTTCTAAGATGAGAGCTCGCAATTTTTAGTCTCTCATAGAATTTGTAACAAATTTTTAAATCCTCCAGGCACTGCCAACATAGAAGGGGGACAGTATCTGAAAGTTCCAAGATAGAAAGCTGTAAAAATGATTCATTACTTCGATTCCCTATGACACTGATATAGAATAGTATATTACCGTGTCGCTGAAGATATTAATTAGTTCTATTGCATCCGTATAAGTGTCTTCCTCACATACTTTGATTTTATGATTCCATATGTTTATATCGCCCTTTTTTAAGCAAATGCGACAGGATTTTTGTAAATCGTCTAGGCTTGTAATGTATTCTGTTTCCAATGCAACTTCCATTTGTAAACAAAAAGTTCTGTTTAAGGTGAAAGGCCAATTCGTTGTATAGACATACACATATACATGGACATATAAGAGGTAGCCATATCGTTTTTCATATGAATTTACGTACACACAATAGTCATACAATCATAAGTTTATAATTTTTTCAAAATTATTCATTTGACAACATCTCATTGTCAAAATTTATATTAATCAGAGATGGGTTCCATCTCTTATTCAGTAAAATTTGGCAAGGTAAATTACAGAAATTGCAAAGATGGATAGTCTTATTTGAAATGACATTACATTCTTAATTTTACCATGGGTAGGGCGCATGGTAGAACAATACAGGTAGATGCATCAACGCTTGGGAACATCGATATGTCAATTTGGTTTGACAGTTTATTGTCTCAGCAGCAGTTTACAGTTTATTGTCTCTACCGTGGTAGGGCATAGCAATCACCTGAATGCAATTTCTTCGTTTGGTACACTGCCTTTACACGGTGACATTTTTTAACCATGCCATTTTTTTTGTTGGTAAAAGGTGTAGAGAGACAAGGATAGAAGAAAAAATGGCACGATAAGCCACCGCACAGGGTTACATGCCATTTTCTTTGCATTTCTCTTTTTGCTTCTTCCGAATTTTTTATGATTTTGACATTTCATATCGTTTCTTTATTGTAATTTTTGATGCGTTTCTTTTATTGTGATGTTATGTTTTTAGTGATTGAATTGTATAGTGAATTATATGAAAATTAAAAAGTAAAGTATTAAAAAGTAAAAAAGAAAGTTAAAATAAAAGTTAATAATGCAATATTTAACACCTCAATAACTTTTTCCATCATTTCTTCTTTAGATTCACACATTTAATTTTAAATCACTTCTTTATAAATATCTGTTACAAACAATTAGCTCTATACGAAATACTGAATAAAATAAAATGTCAGAAAAAATGCCAAGCACTATTATCGTAAAATGCCACCGTGTAAAGGCGCGAAGATTTACGCAGAAATTTTAAAAGAGAATTGATAAAAATGCCAGCTAAAAAATGCACCGTGTAAAGGCAGTGGTAGTCTTGTAATTGTTACAAATTGTTACTGGAAGCCGTCTGTTAACCCGAAAGTTCTGCAAAAGAGAGCGGTTGGAGAGAGAAATTTTGACAGTTCTTTCAGTGAGAGTTTGCAAATTCTTGCTGGACAAATTTCTTCTTGCAATCACTTGCAACTCTTCTTCTTCTCATTTATCGACATTCAATCAGATGTTATCTATTGTTACTTTATTTATTTTTGTGCTTTTAATTTGAAAATATTGTTTTGGAATTAGCAAGACTAATTGTTTTTGGAGAACAACTTCACAAAATCTGAAAGAAGGAAATATTAATATGTAATAAGAAAATAAAAGACTATTTCCAGCATTTTTAGACAAATGTCATTAGCAACAGGCTTAAAAGATTCCGCGGAACACATCATATCTATCTTCCTTTTATTGCTCATATATTTATTTTATCGTCAATTTCCTTTTTATTTATAAAACTTGTGAAATTGGTGGTGGTACCTTTCGTTTAATTCTTTTAATGGGGGACAAATTGGTTTGTTTTGACAAATCAGCTGATTAGTTGCAAGCTTCTGCAGGAATACCGTCTGTTTACATTTCGCAATTTCCTTGCAAAAGAGAATAAAACTACCTTTCTCTCTCAGAAAGATGTTGCTGGACAATTCCTGCAGGAAAAGTAACCATACACACCTAATATCGTCTGTTTACTTTTCGCATTTTCCTTGCAAAAGAGAATAAAACTACCTTACTTTATCAGAAAGATGTTGCTGGACAATTCCTGCAGGAAAAGTAACCAGACACACCTAATGATTCTACAACTTTTTTTTCAATTGTCAGACGTCTATGCCACAAAGTCAAACTTTTTTGGTACTTGGAGAACTATTACGTTAAACCCATCATAAATTTATATTGTAGAATCAGCGAATTGTAGAAGAATACAGGTAGATGCATCCACGCTTGGGAACATTGAATGCCACAAAATTTTATATATTTTTTCAAATATACGTAGATTTTTTTTGTTTTCTTATATGATGTCATTCGCAGCTTATTATAATTCGCGTTTTATTTTTAAAAATTTAAATAATTTTCCATTCAATATTTTCAATTGCAAACTTGGTTTGACAGTTCATTGTCCCAGCAACTGTGTCGACGTGTCTATCAATATTCTTCTATCATGAATCAGGGTTACAAGTGTATTTGGCACAATAAAACTTTAGTAAGGAGTTGAATCTTTTAAAGTGATACAACAATTTGATAAACAAAGTGTAAACAAATTTCGACATTAAAACAGACTGCAATACCTTGCTATTCGAGAAAATTGAATGGAAAATTACTACTGTGATTGAAAAAACTTGAAACTGTCAACATTTTGTATACGTTTTAATACGATTAATTTACAGCTGGATTCCTTTAAAAAACGGACAAACTCAGTTGGTCGGACGACTTAATTGACAGGCCATGCAAGCTTACATGGTACAATGAAATAAATGTAACCTAATTTTAAATTAGCATTCCCAGCTCTTCATTTTCTGTCATTTTCCTTGACAAATTTTAATGCATTAAAACAGTAAATGCATAGGGTTGTATTTTCAACTTTCGTCTTTTAACTCATTTCAAAAATGAGTCAATATATCATAAAGGGTAAAGGGAGTAACTTGCTAGGTAACTGTGTTCTGAACTGTCCCTAAACTGCAAGAATGTAGTTTTTTTTTATTATGATAATAAATTTTCCCTTTACGATATCGAAAAATTAGCAAAATAAGCAAATTCTTGCAGGTTCTGGGGCAGAGCCTCGGGAATACTTCCCGAACGGAGCTTATTGTTAAGACCGTGTTCATGAAATGCCAACTGTATATTTGTGCTGATTTTCTGTTTTTGCGAAAAGTCGATTCATATTTGTCGGCAACTTTTCATCACTCATAATCGATAATTACAGTAGAAGAAAAACGATTCACAGATCCCTATAGCAAAAAAATTATTGAAAATAACAAATCCACCAAATTCCAATAATTCCATGGTAATAAAACGACAAAATTTAATTGTGTTATTGTTTTTATTTATGTTATTGTTTATATTTAAATAAATAATAATAAATGTTGATAAATTTCATTTGCTACAGATGAATTAATATTCAACAAATATATATGGATAACAAATGAAACGGATGAGTGAAAAAATTGCTGGCCAATTAAATTTAATTAAAACTAATTGAAGAAAAGTTCGTGCAACATAAAGGAAAAGCGCCAACCGCAGCAACCTAATTATTCAGAAGACTTTATTTTGTAACAAGTAAGTAAACAGAATTTTCTTTACGGATATAGTTTTTTTCGTTTTTTCTATTGACGTGTAGATATATTTGTTGAAGAAATGTAGCAAAAAAAAAAAAAAAACAAATTGGCTTTAAAATAGTGTTGATACAAATGTATGTTATATGCTTATATACTTTTCTCAACATGAAGCTAATCGTGGACACGGTTTGGAAGTCTTTTGGTTTTAAAAGCTAACACATTAGTATATATATGAACCTAAATATTACCGTCATGTATACTTGGATCAAATAACTGACTATATTGGTATTTATATTGGGTAAGGGATGGTCAATGTTGTGAGAACCTATAATTTCGAAATAGATATTAATTAAATGTGGCATGTCTTTGATAGACTTTAATTTTTTATTTCCTTTCATTGACTGTAAGTGTATTTTAACAAAATTGTAGTCCTATATAATTGGAATTCGACACGAATGCATATATGTGTTAAATATATATTTCTATCAGAAACTAACTTTCCTTTATATCAAACTTTCTTTAAAAAAGAAAATATGTTGACTGACCGACACCAATGCAAACAGCTTTAAAGATCTTGCTATTGGATCACTACTGATACGACACAAGCAGCGTAAAAAATAGGCGGGGCTTCATTTCAATTTACAAATCCATTTTTATATTTGACATTTCTTTACAGAAATGCCACCGTTGAAATCGTACTCGCCACAAAACGAATATAATGGTAATGGTAACAATAACTCACCTACCGAAAACACCTCAGGAGCAAGTGGATCATCTGAAGCCTCAACTTCAAATGTTACCACGCTGAATATTCAACGTTCCAACACTAAATCACCACCATATTGCAATGGCCAATATCCGTTTAAGGTATTGTCCAACCTGCAACAATTACGTTCACAAAAAAGATTTTGTGATGTGGATATAGTGGCAGGTAAGTCATTGGAAAATAATGCTCCATAGATGTGACTCAAGATAATTATAAACTATTATTTAATAAATATTTTTTAGGAGGAGCAACATATTATTGCCACCGTGTTATTTTAAGTGCTGCTTCGTGTTACTTTGAAGCAATGTTCCGGCCAGAGTTGGGCTTAAATGAGGTGAATCAAAAAACCGTGGTATTGCACACAATTGACGGTGATATATTAAGCATACTATTGGATTTTATTTACACTGGAAGATGTGAGATAACACAGGTATGTTAACCATTTTAACAACCGCATATATTTTAATGTCAATATTTCTTTTCAAATTTAGTCAAACGTCCAAGAGTTATTGGCAGCTGCAGATATGTTGCAATTACATGAAATTGTTGATGGTTGCTGTGAATATTTATGTCGTGAACTTCATCCCAGCAATGCTCTTGGAATTTTACGTTTTGCCGAAGCGCATAATTGTGAAGCTTTGGCGAAGAGTGCATTGAACTATGTCCATGGAAATTTTCCAGCGGTAAGTTTTGGGGAACAATCTGTTTTAAATATGTATATGCACATAGTCAGTGATTAGTAGAGTGCATAGTGCCTGGCCTAGTTTTATTGTCCGTCTCGGTGTAAGTCAAAAATTCGTCCAATAATCCCTAGAGTGTATATAGAAAACTCCCGTTTACCTTTATTTTATTTTTTTATTTATTTCAATCTCAACACAAAAAAAACATTGTAGAAAACGCATTAAATAAATTTTAATTTGTTGAGTGAACGTGCGATAGGCTGGAAAAGTCTATCTATACATGACCACAAATTATCACAACATGAATTAACCCCTTTCTATTATTAAATACTACAGATTGCACAGGAAGATGAATTCTTGGAAACACCCCAAGCGCTGCTTTCACAATTGTTGTCGTCGGAACTTCTGCGTGTAGACTCTGAATCTCAAGTATTCCAGGCAGCATTACGTTGGATTAAGCACGATGTCACCCAGAGACGCTGTTTTGTTTTTGATATATTATCATTGGTACGCCTTGCGTTGGTTCCTGTGAAGGTTATAGACCAAGCTCTAAGAGATTGCCGTGACATGTCAGTAAAAATAGCTTTACGTTCCATATGCAGAGATATCGCTTCCAAGCGTGGACAGCTGGTACCACTGCGCGTTTGTCCCCGTCAACTGGCCAAGAAAAATATTTACATTATAGGTAAAATGTTTTAGAGTACTTTAACATTGTAATATTTTGAAATTATTTGAAATCACTTTTAGGTGGGTCACGCAGGGAAACATCTTCCACTTGGAATCCGGCCGATGATATATTCGATACGGTGGCGAAATTCGATATTTTCCGTAGGGAGTGGTCGGAGACAGCGCCCATGGAGATCGGCCGCATTCTTCCTGGTGTGGCAGCCTTAAATGGCAAAATTTATGTTATCGGTGGAGAAAGAGGTGCCCAGATATTGGCTAACGGCGAAGTATACGATCCCCAAAACGACTGTTGGTCGCCCATATCACCAATGATTGTACCCCGTTGTGAATTTGGTTTATGTGCAATGGACAATAGTCTATTGGCTGTTGGCGGCTGGATTGGTGATGACATTGGCGGTTCAATGGAACGTTACGATCCGGATAAGGATGTTTGGGAAATTATTGGAAATTTACCGGAACCACGTTTCAGCATGGGAGTTGTGAGTTTTGAGGGTCTGATTTATATTGTTGGAGGATGTACTATTTCGACACGTCATCTGAACGACCTAGTAAGGTATGTACTTGAAATATATGATGGCAAACATTTTAAAATCTTAATCTTAAATTATATTTACAGTTATAATCCCGTTACCAAGGAATGGCAACCTTTGGCTCGCATGCAAGTGGCTCGTTGCCAAATGGGTGTTGCAATATTGGATCGTTATTTATATGTTGTTGGTGGTAATAGTAGTTCGCAGGCTGTTTTAAGTTCTGTAGAGCGTTACAGTTTCGATGACAACACTTGGTCTACAGTTTGTGCAATGTCTGTGCCTAGAGCTATACCAGCAGTGGCTGCTGCCGATGGTTTACTATATGTAGCAGGAGGTGATCAGGTATTATCTATTGTGTATATATTCTAATATCATATCACTAAGTATTTGTCTTCTTGTTTTAGCCATGCGAGGCTGCCTTTTATCGTGCTCAAGTCACTATTAGCGCCGTCGAATGCTATGATCCCTTAACCGATACCTGGAAAAATTGCCCAGATTTGCCAGTTAGCCGTTCAGAAGCGGGAGCTGTTGTTGTCTAACCCAAAAATAAATTCTGATAGTGTAGAGTATTCATATTGTATTATTTTTCATATTGCGTATTATTTAATATAACTATTCATTACCCGTTAATCGCATATGCTACTACATATTTAGGTTAAAATAACCAATCTCTCTCTCCCTCTATGTATTTCTTTCTAGCTTTTAAGTTTTATATTATCTTGAAAATAAAATGTTCCATTTTCGTCGTCGAAGTGCAAGCCAATCACAAACTAATCCTTTAAAAGGTTGAACAATACCCCCCAATCATATTGAATGTGAAGATTATTCCAAAACAAGAAAACTTGAAATCATACGTATTAATTGATGTATAATTACTGAGAAATAAATATACATATATTGAAAATAATTCACAGAATAATTAAAGAACTTGTTGTTTTGTTTTTTAATCTTTTCATATTTTCAGAGAATCTAAAGAAATATAGCTAACAATGAAATTAAATTTGATTTGATTCATTTGAATATAACTTGTGTTTAAACAAGTACAAAATTTCCAAATGTAATTCAAAACGTTTTAGTTGTAATTCGAGAATTCCATTGGAAATTCGACAAATTTCATTTGTAATTGGAACTATTCCAATTGTAATTCGAATAATTCCATTTGTTATGCGAATTATTCCGTTTATGTTTCAAATTATTTCAATTCGAATGCTTCTATTTGAAATTCGGAATTCTAACAAAAGATATACAAATTATCGTTGTTTTGTAATTTTTCATTGCAAAGTAACCGAAATAAATTGGGCAAGATCCCCTCTCTTCCTTTTTTTAATTTTCCAATTAAGATTCGCTGAAACCCCTTGATATATGCAAGTCCAATAAAAGTTTGTTCAAGAAGACTACTTTTGATAGAATTTGACAATAGACTTGTAGTTTTGCACTATTCTGATTTGAATATCTTTGAATTTCAAATCATACATGTCAAGTTGCCACCAGCTGGTCTGATAGGGCCACCTTGTAATTCTACCATGATTTGAATAAAATTTGAATATACCTTCTGTTTAATAAAGTCAAGTACAACATTTTCAGATGTAATTGAAAATATTTTAATTGTAATTCGAAAATTCCATTGGAAATTCGACAAATTTCATGTGTAATTGGAATTATTCCAATTGTAAATCGAATAATTCCATTTTTTCGAGTTATTTCAATTCGAATGCTTCCATTTGAAATTCGAAATTCTAACAAAAGATATGCAAATTATCGTTGTTTTGAAAATTTGCATCGCAAAGTTACCGATAGATTGGTCAAGATCCTTCTTTTTTTTTAATTTTCCAATAAAGATTCGCTGAAACCCCTTGATATATGCAAGCCCAATATAAGGTCGATCAAGAAGACTACTTTAGATAGAAATTTGACAATAGACTTGTAGTTTTGCACTATTGTGATTTGAATCTATTTGAATTTCAAATCACTATTATGTGTTTTAACAGCAAACCATGGTAGAAAAATATTGGTAGATGCATCAACGCTTGTGAACATTGATATGTCAATATTTTAAAATTGTTTTGTCAAAAATAAGTAGATTTTTACATATTTTCTTATGCGATGCACATCGGAGGTTGTTACAATATTTCTCAACAATTTTTACAAATTTTAATAATTTTTTATTCAACATTTTCAATTCCAAAATCGGTTTGACAGTTCATTGTCCCAGCAGCTGTGTCGAAGCAACTACCTGTATTCTTCTGCCATGCAGCAAACTTAGTTGTCAAATGGCACAATATATTAGGTGTGTCTGGTTACTTTTCCTGCAGGATTTGTCCAGTAACTTCTTTCTGAGAGAGTAAGGTAGTTTTATTCTCTTTTGCAAGGAAAATGCGAAAAGTAAACAGACGGTATTCCTGCAGAAGCTTGCACCTAATCAGCTGATTTGTCAAAACAAACCCATTTGTCCCCCATAAGGAGAATTAAAACAAAGGAAGCAATACTAATTTTACAAGTTTTTTAAAAAAAAATGTTGAAAATAGTCTTTTATTTTCTTATTACATATTAACATTTACGTTTTTCACATTTTGTAAAGTTGTTCTCCAAAAACTATTAGTCTTGCTAATTCCAAAAAAATATTTTCAAATTGAAAGCACAAAAATAAATAAACAAACAATAGAAAACATCTGATTGAATGTCGATGAATGAGAAGAAGAAGAGTTGCAAGCGATTGCAAGAAGAAATTTTTCCAGCAAGAATTTGCAAACTCTCACTGAAAGAACTGTCAAAATTTCTCTCTCCAACCGCTCTCTTTTGCAGAACTTTTGGGTTAACAGACGACTTCCAGTAACAATTTGTAACAATTGTTACAAACTTTAGGGTAACCAGACGCACCTATTAGCATGAGATTACGTTGAATAATTTTGCCATGACTTAAGGTTCAATTAGACGTGTCATAACCATATAAAACAACTGTTCAAACCAATATTATGTGGTATGATATAATATATTAGAAGCGACCATGGTAGAAGAATATAGGTAGTGATATCGACACAGCTGCTGGGACAATGAACTGCCAAATCAATTTGGGAAGTAAAATTTTTGAATGAAAAATTATTCAAATTTATGAAATATTTAAAAAACATATCATATCAACCGCCGATTGGCGTCGTATTGGAAAACATATACAAAAATATTTAATTTTGGAAAAACAGTTTAACAATTATCGTCTAAGTTGAAGAACTCCGGGACTATTCTCAACCAATTGAGAAAATTGTTAGTTATAAATGCATTATTCTACAACTAACTACAAATCGGTTGAAAAGTCATCTGAAGATCAACCAGTTAACAGCCTTTTTTTGTAACAGTATTTGTTCATTCGTTTGGAATTTTGGCGAAAGAAAATATATTTTGGGTTTTTATAGTACATGTTTTTTTCTGAGAGTCACAAACAAACGAAAATTTCAGAAAAAAACGATGGGAGGAGTTTTGAACAGAAATAGGCTGTTTGTTACAGAATCTCGCCAAAATTGTGTGTGCATGACCAATTTGAACGAAAAAACAAGTAAGCAAAGGATATAGTCGTGCGGGGCCGACCATGTGATACCCTACAACACTACAATATGTTAGAAGCCCCCTAATATCCAGATCGATTTTGGAAGATTTCGCTTTTGAAATTATGTCACAAGACATTGACCAGAGAAATTCGCCCAATATTTAAACACTCCGTCATACTGTTGGTTATTGTGGTCCATTTTTCATCCAAAACGCTAGAATAATTCTCTGTCCTTAACTCTCTTTTCAGGCGTGTCGATTGGCTTCAATTGAGTGATCAGGAAGTTTTTTTCTGTTTTTGTTTCATTTGAACCCCTAAATATTTTGCGATCATCTCCAAAAGGAAGAGGCTCCTCTGTATCTCCAAATTTAGACCCATCTATATGATTTGATTGTCTACGATATTTGGCTATCTTTGTCAACGAAATCAGCATAAAAAAGCCAGAAGTTTGGCTTTTGCATATTTCGGATATCGCCTGTAAGTAGTTCTGGTATTTTTTCACACAAAAGTAGTGGTCCATTCTACTCGCTGTCCTAAACTCTAACTTCATGCGAGATTTCGTGTCCTTTGGTTTCTATTCGTGAACGGCTGCAAAATCAGGAACCTTTTTAGTTGTTGTTCCATTTCAACCCCCAAATATATTGCGGACATCTTTAAAACCAATATGCCTAGCCCTTTTGAGCCTAACCCTGCACTTATGAAAATTTTCGTAGGATTGGACGATAATTGCAATCTGTATATAATAACCCCAACCTGTGTTGTAAGTTGAAAAAGTATTACAAAATATACACTTCAATATTATGTCAAATTGAAAAAATCGCATGCGATAAAAAATATAAAAAATGTCACAAAATACTACAAAACCTATATTAACATCATTATTGACATATTTTTATGCGATTTTTTTTTAGATTTTATACTTTTATGCCAAGAGGGCTTTCTGAATTGACAAAATTTGTCAACATCGGTCCAGCCATTCTTGAGATATAAGCATTATAGCTAATATCCCCTTCTTTTGTATATACACATTGTATATATTTCGCTATATATATCCGATATACATATTAACTATTGGCATCGACGTAACGGCCAGAATTGACCTGTTCATCTGTTTGTGATTTCGTCGGGATTTAATATTTTCGCGGTTTAATGGAAAATATGACTTTCATTTAACACGATTGTTATGGTCTATTTCACCCACTAAATATTACCCGATGACCACCAAAATTGGAAGGCTTCTACCCAGCCCTAAGCCCTAACTCCATGCTGACTTCGCTTGGTCCATAATTGCGACCTGTAGAGCAACTGCCCCCTAAATATTATGCGATCATCTCCCAAAGAAATAGGGTTCTATTCTGATTATAACCCCACCTCCATTTTCAATTTCATGAGGATCGGACTATAGTTGCGACCTGTAGAGTGATTACAATAAAAAAAACTTTTTTACATATTTTGTAATTGACTAACAGCCTGTTTTTGTAACATTATGTTTTCCTTTCGTTTGGGATTTTATCGAAAGAATATATATTTTAGGTTTTTGTAGTGCATGTTTATTTCGGTGAGTGACGAACACAATAGAGCTTTTTCCCCTTGTATTTTTGGTTTTTGTAATGAAAAAATACAAACGAAAATGTCAGAAAGAAACGATAGGAGAAGGACCTTTGTTTTGAAAAGAAATTGGCCCTTTGTTACAGAATCACGCAAAAATGTTATGTGTATGATAGGGAATTAACATATGAACTATTTTAACACATCAAGATCATGCTGGCGCACTTTGCTGGTACATATTCCTCAAATGTTTTCTCGACATTTTTCAATTTTATTTCAATTTTTTTGATAAATTTTGAATTTGTTGGGGTTGCCACAACCGGCACAACTCCTAATGAAATTAAATAAAAAAGTTCAAAAAATAATGGTTATGGAAACACTGACATATCCAAGCTTTTCGAGAATGGACGAGAGCTTTCAAAATATTTATGAAACTACAAATTAAAACGAATACGTTTGAACACGAACGATTCGAATGAAAGCAGCTTTTTTTTACTAAAAGGAACTGTAAATATCGGCTTAAAAGTTAATGGTAAGTTTAAAAGAAACTAGTTTATATTTAATTTCAAAGTAATGCAGGAATGGACAATTCTCCATAGTTAGTTGGCGTAAAGGAAATAAATCAAAAATAACTAGTTGTGGTTTTCTTAAAACGATTTTTAAATTAGTTTTAAACCAACTTATTTCCCCGCAGGGTAATTTTAAGTTGGTATTAAACCAATTTATGTTCCCGCAGGGTTCAAACAAACATCAACATACATCTGTATAATTTAGAATTTCGCAAATCGAACTCATACAAAATGCTGGTGTAAATGTGGTATTGGTATTCTGGCCATACGATTAACGGACTGAAATATATTTAAACAGTCCCAGTTCTGTCGCTCATTTATGTGAATCGGTCAATTGAACTTTATGGTCAGAAATCACAGAGTATGTTCGCATGTTATTTATTTCATTAACTTTTAAATAATATTTTAAGTAAAAAGTATAGGAGTTGTATATGCAATGTAAGTTAAGCATAATAGTGCCTATGTTACAAAGTTACGGACACCGACACTCTTTTAAATTCAGTTGCGGAAAGAAGTATTTGCTTAAAAGCTGTAGCAAATTGATTGTATCCCAGTGGAAGAAAGGAGCAAATGATAGAGGTATTTGTCACCTTGGGACCATAATCACAGCCATCAAAACCAAAAACTGTGCTGTGCTCCAAAAATTTCAAGATCGCATACCTTTGCGATTATGAATTCTAAGCATGCCAGTGGCAACAGTCATCAACAACAAAAGTATCCGCTACAAAATCAACGAACACATTCAGTACAACATGGACCGCGTATATGAGGATGCATACATTTAAGTTGTCTCGGAAGCCATAGCTATCTTTAATAAACAGAATCTTCAAGTCGCTGGCCGGTAGCTCTTGAGGTACGGAAATGAGGCTTTGCCTCGCCCAATAACGTGAAAATTCCGGCCTGTGTTTAGATGTCGTTTTTGAACTCTCGTAGTATGCAGTGGAGAAGTACTAAAACGTGAAGACTTAGATGTCAGTGGACCATCTATAAACAATTTTCTATTCGTAACAGAACACTATTGTATTGCCTCGGATTGCTAAGAATCACTTCAACGATATTCACTTTAGAAATTAGTGTTGGTTAATTTAGTAGTTCAGAAATCCAAATACTTGAAACTAATGAATTTTTACTGACTTTTTTGCAGAACCCACTACAATATGAACACCATTCGGCCATGTGGCTGCAAAGGAGTACGTACTTGTTTAAAATGTGAACAAGATTTTGGCATTGAAAAAACCAATCTAAAGGATGAGTTCGAAAAATTGGATGCTTGGTCATGGTGTATTAAATGTCAAAAGCTATATCGGGGATGGAATACAAATGAAATACAACTACAACATCCAGAACATTTAAAAGACGATGGTTTAGACTTGCCTGGAATTGTGGTGCAGACAGAGTTTATTTCTGCCGATGAAGGACGAAAAACAATGAATGACTTGGATTCTTTGCCATGGTGTATATCCCAAAGTGGCAGACGCAAACAGAATTTCGGACCAAAAACCAATTTCAAAAAGAGAAAAATACAAAATGGCAACTTTGAGGGATTCCCGGAAATCACGAAATATTTACAGAAAAGATTGTGTGAGGTACCCTTGCTTAAGGACTTTCAGACCATCGAACAGTGCTCTTTGGAATATGATCCCACAAAGGGAGCATCAATTGATCCCCACATAGATGATTGCTGGATATGGGGTGAACGGGTGATAACTGTCAATTGTCTTGGTGATGCTGTTTTAACATTGAATTTGTACAAAGACTGTTTGGAGAAACAATTAAAAGACATTACAAAGTATAATTTAGATTTGGTGCCAACATATGAACATCAGCTGTTACAGCCTCTGATGGCGAGTGAGCAATTGAAAATGTTTGAAGATAAAATAATAAGAATTCCAATGCCATGGTAAGTTACCATGATGAAGAATAATTTGTAAATGTAAAACTTATATACTTATACTTTTTTGTAGCTTATCACTGATTGTTTTATATGGACCAGCGCGATATCAATTTGAACATTCTGTTTTACGCGAAGACATCCAAGAGAGAAGAGTTTGCTTAGCGTATAGGGAATTTACGCCAATGTATTTAGAGGGAGGACTATCGCATAATAAAGGTGTTGAAGTGTTAAAAAATGCTACCAATTTTTGGTAACCGAAGAAAAATAAATCAAATTTATGTTCAAAATGCTCATGAAAAAATGATTTTAATGAAAAGCTCGAGTGAAGTGTAAGTGTAACGCTAAAGATTCTTTCTTCTAATTAGGAATCCAAATGATAGCTATTGCATGTTTATTATCTACTAACAATTCTAAAACAAAATAATATTTAAGTGTTTGTATTCATTCGGAAAATTTATAACACACATTCTACATAGATGATCTATCATAGCATGGTTCAAAAGCTCGTAATTTGATATGACCACCATTTAGCAACCATTTTACTCTACCTTTTAAAAAGTAAGAGCCACATATTCAAATACAAATTAAGTTAAAAACGAGACAACTAATCTGGATTGACAAAACATTGGTATAGTTCAGAGTTTTTGTTACATGAATACATTCAAAAATTTTTATATTCTACGTCGTGTTGTGGTATAGTAATTTTTGTATTGTCTCATGTTACTGTTTAAGGTGCGGGAAATGTTGTGAAAGCAGCCGAATACTAATTCCCATTATTGCTATAATGAAAGCGAAATCGGAAATTACATCGGTTTGTGTTAGGTACAGATTCACTGATTTCATATAAGGAAGTGGGTAAGGAAATATGGTTTGTCACTTCGATAAATTCTTCGTATTGTCTTCCTAGAATATATCCAACAACTTTGGCGACAACTATCATCCTCGTTTCTTACTGGTTTCTTTAAGCAAATGGTTTTGCCGTTCCAATGAAATAGTTTTCCAACACAGTGATCAACACTACTATAAACAATCTCTGAATAATTAATTATGAATTTAGGGAATTTTCATTAATTTTCAATATTTTATTAAAAAACGGAAAACACCCATACACCCTTACATACTTACCGTAAATAAACAACAGTGCAAATTGAAAACAACATGTAATTCTTTTAAGCAAAATATTCGCAAAGAGATGAACTTTTATTACGAAGTTTTAAAAAAATAAATATATTTTGTTTCTTCTTTTTCTTAATCTTTGTGTGTTTACAATACAATTAGCTAAAGATATTTTTTGTTGTTGTTAATAATTCAAAAAGGACTAGTGTCATTTAGTATTAATATTTAAGTTTTTAATTTAATTTTATTAATATTATTTTGGGAAATTTCTTTTAAAAATCTTTTACTTACTTTAATTATTTTTTTAAAAAAATATGGAATAGCTAAAATGTGTGCTTAACTTAGAATTTATTTAATTATTAATTTATTTATTAAGATAAGATTCATTGTAGGCATTTAATTCATCACTTACGAGCGAGCGGCCTCAAAGCATTATCGATTTCCCGTGTATCACATGACACCTGAAGGTTTGTGTGTGTGTTTGTGTTTAAATTTTAGTAAAGCTTTTTTCATGACCAGTGAATTAGCTCACGAATTTGGTTTGAGTTTTGGAGGGGTGAGAAGTAAGAAGGGATATTATTTTCTGATTTGTTCCTTTCTACTACTGCTGTTTGTGGTGGCTGTCCCATCCTTATCGCCGGTGGCAGATGGCCGATAATATGTGTCGGTTTTATTGAAATCACGTGCCCCAGAACCACACAAAACCATAGCGGGCAAAGCTTTAAGGAAACCATGTAGACCCGAGGGTATAGGCGGAGTGGGTGGAACAGACAGACCACATCTGTTGTATAGATATGGCATAGTACCCGTAATATTAGTGTGTAGCCCCAAAACTGCTTCGAGATCTGCTTCCTGGGCTTGCGATAGGAATTCGAGAAAGAGACTGGTTGGAATCATTGCAATGTGATCGAAGGAGTCTACATAGGCTTCAGTGTCTCGGTTGTATTGTTCTAGGAAATCGCCAAGCAATTTGGCCACCATGGCAGAACGAGCTTTACTCACAGCTCCGAAATTTTGAGGATTTCTAAAATATACTGGTGCTTTCACTGCACCTCCAACGCGGTTAAGAAATTTTAAGATTATCTTTTCATGACTATCTTTGGGTTCCAGTACCAAGCGACGCAAAATCGCCTCTAGGTATGTGCTAAAACTTTGACGTGCTTGCAGCTGAGTAAGCTCTGAACCGTTCTGTATCAATTTTAGGACTTGCTTACGCAGCCGCTTGCCCTCCTCTTCGCACTTGGGTTCAATGCGTTTTGTATCAAAATATATGGGAGAGGCTGTTTCCAAAGCCCGTTCATATTGTCCCATACGTTCTTCAAATGAATTCCCCTCCTTCATATCCCCACTCTGCTTGCCACCATACAGTTGCTGGTACAAAAGTTGATTGTAATTGTGTTGTGACATTGTCGATTGAAAGGTTTGGCCTTGCAGTACAGGCGTTGACATTGGTATGCCCGTAGTGGAATCCAGGAAATTTCCATATCTGGACATACTATCTTCTGTGGGAAAAATGCGTACAAATCCTCCACGTCGGGCATTTTGGAAACGTGCATTACGAAGAATGCGCTGTTCTTCCAGGGTTAAATTCTTACAAGCGGATGTGCTGACCGAAGAACGCTTGTTATTCATACTTCCCCCAGCACCTGCAGCAGTGGGCTCAGCAGAACTGGTACGCCTATTATGGGAAACACTTCGAAAACGTGTCCATCGGCTGTCGTAATGAGCCCTCATAGCCGGACTATAAGCTGGAATTCCGACACACGTCAAGAGGTCAGTTATGAGACATGATTTGACCTTAGCATCCAGGGGACTATCAACACCCATGGACGGCGACAAGTTCACCTCCAGCAACCATGGTTTTAGCGTATCATCAATCAGTATATCAAAACCGTAAAGCTCGAAACAATTGTTCCCATTCGGCACAAACATACGACATGCCGATATAATGGATTGGGCACATGAGAATATCGACTTGATAATCAAGTCTTCTATGTTGGCCATTAACATATGAGTATCACAACCTTGAGATTTCAAATGCCTCAATAGGGCCGACAATGTCCACTTATGGCCCACGTCTTCTTCGTGAGCATCACTGGACTTGATATAGTCGGTGTGGTATTTATTAATACTGTAATTGCAGAGGTGCATGCATGGATTCCATAGATTGTCAGCGTCCAGATCATACTTGACAGTGGCCAATCTCACCAATCCTTCTTCGTACAGGTATATAATGAGTGGATCGAATGATGTGACCAGCACATATACACGCAAATCACATTTATGGCCATCAATGCACAACGGATCAGCAACATATTTAGATACCAAAACTTGTTCATCCTGCGGTATTTGGTCGGGTGAGTTGACTATAAAAATGCCGCGTCCACGACTGGAGGCTGCTGGCTTTACTATCCACGGACCTCGACACTTGTTATGTGCCGTCACCAGATCCTTATATTCCAAAGGCAATAGGAATGATTGTGGTACTATATCGAAGTGCTTCATACCTCTCAAGTGCTGCATACGTTCGATGTTCTTGTAGAGACGATCTTTGCGTGTCAGCTCGTACGATCGCGGAAAATGGTTGACCCGTTGATATGGGGATAGATTTCTTAGCATATCAGGTTTCATGTGTATTCCAGTCCATAGAATGCTAAAGGACTCGTCGTCCTCAGCTTCGGTAAGGCCATGTCTAGCGAATATTTTACGCAGTAACTTTGTTTCGGTTTGGAGAAATTTATAGGTCAACTTAAGATTTGTGGCAGGCATGTCCAGGGCGGCAGGAGTGTGATCCACATCACCATCGTTATCGTGCTCATGTTCTTGCTCGTTGTCGTTGTCAAGCTCATTTTCCGATGACTGTGTGGCATTGTTGCGCGGCCTATTTTCAAAGGATCGCTTGCTGGACGATAATTCCTTTTCATTGTCTTCCGAATCGTTGCCATCACTGGATATGGAGTTGTCGCTGGATGACATAGAATCCCATAATTTCTTATCTAAGTGCTTTGGTATGGATACAACACATCGTTTCTGTTTGCCAATCGGAGAGCCACGAATACTTGTGCCAATTCTTCGTTGTTGTAATTCGTTAGCATCGTTACCTTCTACCTTGCCACTGTTCGAGCTGAGACTAGAAGTAGATTTACTCTTGGAATTTTCCTTCCGCAATTTTGTGACATTCTTGTCCGACGTGGTCTCCACATCTTCGTCGTCTTGCTTAACACAAGCTCCACTGGAGCTAGAACGACTTACATGTTGCTGCAGCTGCTGTGGCCTTGAATTTAAAACCGTTGTTCGAAACACCAGTACGGCGTCTCTGGAACCCAGTCCGCCACTTGTAATCCATTCATCATCAGCTGGCTTTTCGTAGCGTCTATTGCCGGCTGTAGTTCCATTGTTGTTGGGACGGGCATCAGTTGTGGGCATAATGAATTCTCCAGTGCTCTTGAGGCTAGCAGCTCACTGGTACATTGCTCGGACAAACAAACAACTGGACGTATTGCGTAATTTCCAACACTCCCGTTAACTCTTTACCGACCGAAACTTCCGTTTAATAATTTCTACTAATGATTCATCCAATGATTCCACCAAGTCGATGACAACATATATTCCTCTGTCGCCTAGTCGCCTTGACATGTTCTGCAATAGCCTTAGGGGTGTGAGTATGAAATTGTCTTCATTGCCCTGTCGCCTTCGTGTTCGTTGTCTCTTCTGAAATTAATTTGATCACAGAAAATGAATTTTGATTGTAGTTCGCTTTAAAAAAATAAATCGTTTAAAAAATCGCGATTTTATGATGGCCAGATTTGTTTAATAATTTCGAGTAAAAAAAACATTAAAATTTCGAATCAATTTCTTGTCGGAAGTAAAAAAAAACACAGCGCACAGCTCAAAGGGAATAGAAAATAAATAAAAAAATCACAAACAATTTTGAGGGTTGCTCTGTGATGGTTGCGGAACAGTTGTGGTGTTGTTTCCGAAGCTAATATAATATTCCTACTGATTGCCGCCTGTCGCCTGAGTACAATGGCTAGAAGAACTTCGTGTCCTTAAAATAGCAGGTTCACATTTCTCGCGTGCGCACATCTCTCCATGCACATACTCTTGGTTTGGCTATGTTTAGCTCTTATACTCGAAACGAGACGAACCAAGTGTAAAGAGTGTGCAACTTCCGAAGTTTGAGTGGAAATTGTGTTGTGATTGGAGACACCATGTGTCAGTTGCATTGTTTACATTTATTGTATTATTGTGGTGGTGGTTGGTTCATAGATAAGGGAAGGTGGGGTCTACAGGCAAGAGTGCAGAACGGCGGATATAGATGTCAATGTTATTTTCCATAACACATAGTGTCTGTTATACGTTTTTCTCCTCCTGTCCCCGTCTCTTATTGAGCGAACATTAATAGTGAATGTGTAAACAAATCGATTAAGGTTGGGTGGCTGTAGCTGCTGTCCATCATTCAATGAGTCTGACTGTCTGTCTGTTTGATGGTGATAGTGTGTGTGTGTGTGTGCAAAGATTGTTGGGATTTTTGCTTCTTAGTCACGTCCAATTGGGGAAAATCTATCAGATGCTGTTAATACTTGTATGTTTATCGGAAATACCACAGACCTTTCTAATGGCTATGGTAAAGAAAACAAAAAGTGACCAGAATCTGCGGACTACATGCAAATTGGAAAGCATTTCAATGAAGTCTTATTGTTTTTGAATACTTAAATGCCTATGCACAGGGCTATAAAATGATGCGGTAGTCAAATTGTAAAAAATGGGTTGGTTAAATTGTTATACTACTAGTTATGGTATTCATACTTTTACCATGAGTAAGCCATTTTTAGGTAAAAAAAAGTAAAAAAACATTAATTTCGGCCGGGCCGAACTTTTAATTCCCTCCACCTTTGGGTATAGAAAACATTTTTATTATATAAATGTGACTAGGAATATCAAAATACCGAATATCGATGGGTATATGGAAAACGTGGACATAATTATTATATATTCTGCCACCGGAGCTATAACCCATTGCGAACTACAAATACCAATTTTCAGACAAATCCGTGGAAAAATGTGGCGAAAATCTTTAAAATTCCGAATATCGTTATCGATATCGTCTGAGGTATCGTTATGTGGTGGCTATATCAATACATGGGCAGATATATCATTTACAACACAAATTGTTCTGCCATATTTTGAAGCTCTACGTCAAATAATGTGTGCTGTATCGTGATTTTAATTTTATGCCGATTATGAATATATATACTTTATGGGGTCTACGTGGAATATTTAGGAATGAAAGGTCCTTTTCAATGTGGAGGGTATAAAAATATGCCACATTGAAATCACGACTGAGTTCGCTGATATTCTCTAAGAAGGGAGTTGAATTAGATAAATGTCACTATGTCTCTGGTCCTATCTACTTAAACCACTATACTATTCTTTCAGGCAAATTTTACATCAGTGACGTGTAACTTGTTACAAATTTCTATTAATTTGTAAGTTCGAATTTATATTTGACAAGTTTTAATTCTTTGTTTGTAGAAGACAGGGTCTAGGTGAATGCAAAAGGACAAATTGTTCGTATTGGTAATTTCTTTTGAGTTTTTTGTGTCATGCGCAAAGTCCACCTTTTTAGTACTAAAAATGCACAATTTGTTGAAACATTTTTATAATCAAAACTTCATACATCGTACTAAATTTTTCGACTTTCAAGGTGTTATATATTCATGTTTTCCAATTTTTTTTTTTGGAAAGAATAACCGGAAAATGTTTATTTTAGGATTCCTCTATTTAGTATTAAATTTAGTACTATTTAATACTTTTTTTTCTATTATAGTACACATTTCCAAAACCACCAACATATTTCACATATCCAAAACCACCAGATACCAACAGAGATACCTATATCACATTTTCGTCATTCCAGCCCTATCCCTTCATCAAATAGAAATATGGGACGCATTTCTAAACCACCGCCAACTTTCAAACACAGATAGTAAAAGTTATCTAATTTAGTTCTAAATTATTTCAGAATTTTATCTGCAAGATCAAATTTAGTACCATTCAGTACTTTTCGTACAATTATAATATACACTTCCAAACCACCTACATATATCAAGGCTACACATGAACACCGAACCTCATATAACTGCAAGCACTATCTGTTCACCTAATAACAAATTGTACGAAATATAGTACTATTTAGTACTTTTCGTTCTCTTGTTGAACACATTTTCGAAACCACCTTTTTTATCTCAAGCCTACCACCAACAGGGCCATCAATAAAAAATGTCCCCCAATACGTCCATCCTTAACCAAACTGTTCCAAATTTAGTACCATTCGCACATTCAGTACACATATCCAAAACCACCTTGATATATCAAACTTACTTCCAACAATGGTACAATAAAAAGGTAAGGTAGAGCTAACAGCTGATTACAATTTTTTTAAGTGCGCCCGACTTCTGCCAATTTTGTATATGTATTTATTGTTTTGAAATATGAAGAAAAAAATATTTTCACAACCAATGATTGGAAGACACATGAATTGCGGCTCGCACATTAAAGCTATTAGCCAGTATAGCCATGAAATTGAATGATTGAACAATTAGGATCATGTTTTTGAGAGAAAAATCCAGACATTGCATTCATTTTTCGTTATTTAACTCATTTTAAAAATGAGGAAAAATATGAAACAAATGAAATCAATAATTTTGAATGAGTCCGACAGGAAGTGGGCATAGTCTCAGGGCTCTATTTTTGTAGCTTTACGAAGCTGTTCTACCTCCTTATTGTACCATGCTTCCAACCTTAATTCGCATACCAAAGTTTTTGGCCCAATCCGTTCACATAATACTAAATGGAACTATTTGGTACCATTTTAGAACTTTTCGTAATCTTAAAGTTCGAATTTCCAAAAACACTTTGGCACATCTATCCTGTGAATCTTGTTTCAAATTTCAGATTCTACGTCAAGAAGACCGTGCAAAATATCAAGATTCTAGCTTCAGCCGTATCGTCTGGACATTGATTCTCGATCAGTCAGTCAGTTATCTCAATACTCTTTTATATACCTATTCAGATATACAGCGTGAGATGAAAAAACTGCAACCAACTTCAGAATGCTGTCATTTCAAAGCCACTCGTCCGACAGCTGTTAAAATTATTCCAGTGACAGCTCATTATATTGCTTACAAGCGTAAGCATTTTAGTGAGAATTTTCCAAAAAAAAAAGTTATTCGTGATGGAATTCAAGCGTGATAGTGTCATTTTTTCATATTTGGCTGGAAAACCACAAGTGGCTATCGTTAGAGCACTCCAGCATTTGAATGTGAATAAATCTTTTGTGTCTCGTACCATCACTCGTTACCGCGTTACTGGTAGCGTAGCCCGACGTCAAGGAAGTGGGCGGAAGAAAACAGCAACATCAGCAGAAATGGTTCGAAAAGTAAAGAAGCGACTTGATCGAAACCCGCGTTGCAGTGGCCAAAAAAACGGCTCGTAAGCTGAACATATCGCAATATTTCATTCGGCAAATATTGAAAAATGAGCTCGAGGTAAAGCCATTGAAATTCCAAAAAGAGCAAGAACTTACACTGCAACAGAAATAAATTAAAATAGAGGAAAGAGGTAAAGAGTTGCTTCGCTTGACCGAAAGTGGTGAACTGCCGAATTTGGTTTGATGAGAAAACATTCATTGTCCAGCAGTTTGTAAACAAACAAAATTATCGTATTTGCTTGCCAAAAGGTCAGCTGAAAATGTGCACCTTCGGTTGGCCACCAGAACTCAAGCGGATCTTGATGGTGTGGGCCGCCATAACAGCCGATGGTCGCTCTCCGCTCGTATTAATCGACCGTGGCATCAGAATAAATGACGAATATTATCGCGAAAATATTCTGGAGGGTATATTAAAGCCTTGGGCACGCAAACATTTTGGCCGCAGACCTTGGACATTCCAACATGACTCAGCACGGCCACCGCACAATGACCACCAAATTTCCGGATACCAATCTGTTGGACTATTGTTTCTGGAGTATTTTGGAAAGCAAGGTTGGCACTAAAAAATACCAAAGTGTCGATCACCTCAAGCAAGCGCTTCGCCGGGAATGGGCCAAAATACCGCAGAGCAACATTCGGGCAGCGTGTGACGGTTTCATTGGCCGTTTGAAGCCCATAATTCGTGCCAAAGTTGACCAATTCCCATCTAAACTTATTCTAAAATTTGATGCTATTTCCGACATTTTTGCTTTCATTCAATAAAATTAAAAAAATGTAAAAATTTTGGCGTTTGACTATGTTGCAGTTTTTTTTATCTCACCCTGTATAATTAAATGACAAAAAAAATATCATGAAAATGGAAAATTGCCTTGTAAGATTACAAAAGAACGATAAATTTTGCCGCAAGTAAGCCCGGCAAAATAAATGAGCTATGGTTTAAATTTGGAATCACATTTTGTTCTATTAATTCGTTGGGAAGTCTAAAATATCTAAAGCTCGTCAACATTAAAGACTTGATAGCTGTTTTCACTTTGGAAAAATAAGGCAAGAGCCAAAAACGAATAGGGCTTGCGTCGATGCTCGAAAAGAACATGAAACGAGACAAGTCAAATGTTTATAAAGCCTATATTCTTTTAATCGGACTAAATCGGTTATGACGCAAAACGATTTAGCTCAAATTTTGAACCATCATTTTTTTATAAAACCAGTAAGGAAAGCTCAAAAGTCGGGCGGGGCCGACTTTATGATACCTTACACCACTATGCATAATTAGGAGAGCTCTCGTAAAAAGGTTTATACAGGGCATTTCAGAGCTGTATGAGATATTTGGTACAAAATCAAAATCTAATTCTATCGTGCATTTTACGAACTATAGCTATCTCTGAACCGGGTTTCTCCAAATTTGACGTATTAGCTTCTAGACTGAATTCGGTCTTATGTACGAAAATTCATGCCATTTGGGCTGATATTGGCCATTTGATGCACAATTAACATGAAATCCGATGAAGATATATATGGGAGGCATATCCAAATCGGAACAGATTTTAATAAAATTAAAATCAACTATTTTTGGGCTTTATCTGATATCTGGTACCAAATATCATTACTGTGGAGTGCATATTACGAATGTGAGGGACTTAAAGACCAAATCGGATGAAAGATATATATGGGAGCTATTGCTATATCTGAACCGATTTTTACTAAAATTGGTGTACTTGCTTCTAAGCTGGTTTCTGTCGGATTTGCCAAAATTGATGCTATTACGGCCATTTGGTGGTCAATCACCAGAAATCGGATGAAGATATATATGGGAGCTATATCCAAATCTGGACCGATTTCGATAAAATTTAAAACAGCTATTCCTGTGCTCCATCTAATACCTGGTACCAAATATCAC